ACATGTGTGTTTGCATATCTGAGAAATTACTAAGCCAACTTTAGAAATTCTATCACTAATAGAAAGTTACACTATTTAATATAAACAGTACAAGATACTAAATCTAATTTATTTCAAATAAATGTTATTGAGTAAAAAAGATATGCAGAGTATGTACTTAAATTTAGACTAAAAGAAAATCCAAAATCTATTCATTAAAATAAACCTAACAATAATATTTATCCTAGCAATAATAGTGTCTAGTTTTAAAGATTCCTTTGTATTTCTCTTGTAAGTGAATTTTATTCTATCAGAGAAATAAATATCATAAACCAAAAACTATATTATATTTTAAAGATTTATTTAAATTAATTCTTGCTAATTTTATACATTATAAATCTACACTATATATGGTAATGTACCTAGAAATAACTGATGTTTTTTTTATTGGAAATATAATATATACTACATTTTTATGTGAAAACCTTTGTCGCAGGATAATTCTTTGGCCTTTTTATTCGTGCACTTGTAATATTTATACCTACTGGTCATGATGTCATCGTATGATGCCAATTGAGGATAGCAATAATGTACGCAACGTACCTTCTTTAGTGTATAACATATTGCGACGAACCTACTTTCTTTCTCAAGCTTAAGTTTTTTAAGAAATACATGAGATCATTGATTAGTTAAAAGTGAAATCGAATCAGGGATGTGTATTTTTTGTACAGGCTTGACAAAAGATTTCAACAAAGCAGTGTCAAAATTTCATCAACGTTAGCGACATATTATTTTGTACAGTACATTTGTTTATGAAGTATTCGATAAAAATATAAATATCTTACGCATCCAACCTCGAAATTGCGATCACAATGGTAATAATACACAGCTTCTACTATCCAATATTAAAATATGAGCAGACATTGCCTTGTTAAGATTTGACCTTTATTACTAAACACTACCAATGCACCATTCATTCCACTGTCACATTTCATTAATTTATTGAAAAATCAAACTTCTTTTAAACACAAAATATAATTAAATATGGAGTTTTTTAAGAAAATCTCACCGTTTCAAAATCACACAGAAAATATTCGGTCGGTAGTCGCGCATGCCCAACAAAAATTTACATCACGTGACCTGTCATGGCGTCATAATTGTCGTTTCATTATAATGTCTGCTGTGCTATGGTAGTAATTTATTCAGCCAAATATTTAATAAAAAGATAAAACACCGATACATATTATAAAACAAATGTATTTTAAGTCAACCTGTGTAATTTTCTCCTATTATGTATAAAAATACGCAAAGTATATGTAATATTATATTATCACAAATTTTAAATTAAAGAACTGCGCGAAACGAACAACAATAGAGTATACTATAGTCTAATAGAGTTATAGAGCATAGATTAATTAATGCCTATATAAAAATAAAATATATGTACTAAAATGGCATATAAAGTATTTACTTGCGCCCTATATGTAGCAGATTACAGTATTTTATGACTTCCCTGTTGAAAAACTCCAATAGAATCCCATTAAAAGCGACAAAAGCCAGATAAAAACCAATAAATATGTATTGGTTTCTTTATGGCTTTTGTCGCTTTTGATGGGATCCTATTGGAGTTTTTAAGCAGGGTTGTGCTAAGCGCTTTAATTTATGTCTACAAGTGTTCCACACTACTACCGACTACTAGCTTTTTCTCACGATTTTGCCTGTATAGATAATGCAAAATTATTCATCTTATACGTACGAAGTACGAACCGCTACCGCAGTTAAACCTATGCCATCTAGTTGCGAGTTCCAACAAAATAAATAACAATAATTTAAAAAAATTAAACCGACTTCAAAAAAAATACTAAAAAGTAAAAAATTACTGATTGGTTTTAATTTACTATAGAATATAATATAAATGTATTAGATAATGAATTTAAGAGATAACTAATCAGATATTTTCGAAGTCAGTGCCACTGCCAGCCTATAAATAAAAGTCCCTGTTCAGTTATTTTTTAATTTTTTATTTGGTGGTTTTTCTTTTTAAGTCAGTTTTTTTTAATTTATTTCCTTTATTTTGTAATTTTTAGTTTTAACTAACTTCAAAAAAGGAGGTTATCAATTGGACAAGTATGTATGTAAGAATGATTTTAACTGCAAAATATTCACTTAAGGTATTATTATTAGGGCTTCCAAACAAATATACAAAAGGTGTATATAATATGTACGTATGTGTGTTTGTATGTATGCATGTTTGTCCACGCATTTCTCCGAAACTAGTTATCGGATAGCGATCATTCTTTTTTTATTTGCTTAAATTTATTTCAACTTATTGAATAGTAAAGATTTCATCAAAAACGGTTTAGTCGTTTTTATGATATGGACTAAAACGTGTAACTAAAACTCAGTTTTTGTAATTACTGCTTATTATTTCATTACATTAAACTTATAACATACATTAAACTATTTCAGTTTTTACTTAAAACTAAAAATTACGAAATAAAAAAGTAATTTAAAAAAAATTACACCGACTTTAGAAAAAAAGACACCTAAGTCATAAATAACATAACGGGGTTTTCATTTACTATAGATACCTAATCAGATATTTTCGAAGTCGGTGCCAGCCGATTATGTTTTAAGATATGAATATCTGAAACCATGAACGAATTCGTTCATGTCTGAAACGTATATAATATGACAACCTTGTCATATTTCCGTTTTAGCTTAGAGTATGTATACTCTAAGCGTTTTCGATATAAATTATCATATTTGAGAGGTATGCACTCTTATAGTTATATATTATTATACTTTATATTTTACATCTATATTTGTTTCGGACGACCAGAACCAGGGTATGTCTAGTACCCGGAGGTCGACCTGGGACAATCTCCCAGACGTTCTTGGCGTACACGGCAGTATGTCCGTTCGCTGGTAATGTACGCCACCACGCACCCCTGAATGCGTAGCTTGGGTCCCGATCCACTAGGGTTTCTTCGTTGACAGGAGACTATACTTAGAGGCGATGAAATAAAACACAATTTTTCCTTTTTTCTCTCTTGGTTTCGGTTCTTCCTTTTCCTTTTAGTTGTTGCCTCTTCGGTGGCTGTCTTGCGACTGACTCGAATCGAGAAATGGCTCGCCTTTTATTTGGCCCGTTAATACCTTACAGAGAGCCGCGTACTTTGAGCTCATTTTTCGAATAAAATTTCCCTAAACCGAAACCTTGAGAGTCCTTTTATTTTATGTTTTCAGTAAAACACCTTACACATATTTATTTATTTACATGCCTTACATACTATTATACAATATTAAAACATAATATTCAATATATAATAATTAATTAAAAAAGTCTTAAAACAAAAATATCTAAATTTCTAGGTTGCTACATTTTTACTATACATTTTCCCTTATAACTTTTGAACGGATAGTCCTATCGACCTAATTCTTGTTTTATTATAAGTTTTATAATAAAATCTATTATTTAAAACATAAACTATTATGCTATTGCAAGAAACAAAAAATCTCATTTTCAAGTTACGTAATTATATGCTAACATTTTACTTACGTACCTATTCCTTTCAAATTAATGTTAAATAGTCTTATACGATTCAAATACAAAAAATACTCTAAACTAAATTACACTAATTAGAACTTATTTTAACATAATAAATCTAATAAGAATGAGATTTCATATTTACAACAATTATTCATAATACGCTAAAATGACATTGTCCCTATATTAATACACACGTTACTCGAAGATAGGTTTTCCGTCGCCGACATTCTCCCCCTCGTGCTTTGCACCAACTCCTGGACTCGGCGACGCTCCCGGCACCAACAGCACCACTCTCGAACTGGGCCTCCGTAGAACACCTCCTCTGGTCTCGACGTCGACGACGGTCCAGGATACACATGCAGGATTCTTCCGCGTGGCCAGATGCATCTTGGTAGGCTGTGATCGACGATCAGTACGATGTCTCCGACTTGCAAATCTGTGGCGCTGACTCTTCCTTTGGTCTTCCATATTATAAAGTATAATAATATATAACTAATAGTTCATACCTGTTCATACTGTATTATCTCGAAATAGATTTGCTTTACTTTGCATCGGCTGGCACCGATTTCTAAGGGTCGCTGGACCATTTAAATATTTCTTTCAAACCCTACTGTTACTTCTAAGTTCCAGAGATTAGCGCGATTAACAAATAAAAAGCAACGTTACAGTTTTATTAATATATTTGTATGTGTTTTATCTTTATTTAAAGTTGAATAAATATACATATTATTTATTTGCATATAAATTTGTATATAAGTTGTTAATTTGTAAATATGTTAAGGTTTTTTTAACAACAATTAACCATAAAAGGAAATATTGTTTCCTTACTGCTTACACTATAACTATTTTTCAAATTATAAATAATTCAGGGTTTTAGTTTTTTTTCACATCATATATAATCTATACTAATATTATAAATGTGAAAGTGTTTTTGTTTGTTTGTCCTTCTTTCACGTCGAAACGGAGTGACGGATTGGCGTGATTTTTTGTGTGGAAAAAGAGGGCTGGAGAGTGACATAGGCTACTTTTTACCGCGGGAGATCATCTAATTCCCACGGGAAAACACGTTAAGATACAATACATAATTTTCTTTATGATCAGAGTCATTTAAAGCTTGGTATTAATGCTCTTCAATAAAATTAAATAAATACGTGTTTTAGAATTTTTCGATTAGGGGGTAAAATAGGGGATGAAAGTTTGTATGAAACTACATTTTTAGAGATTTCTTTGTGTAGTTTTATCGCGAGCAAAGCCGCGGGTTCTGCTAGTTTAAATATGAAATTACCCAGAACTCTGTGTAACTTTGAATGAAATTTGGATCGGAATTAGAAAATTTAAGATAATATGTTTATCTGTATTTAAATTATTCTGAGCATATTACTTATAATAGCCTGTTAAAATTTTGATTTTACTCTTTTTAATCTACTTTGTCTTAAATCAGTAAAAATGATAGCTGGGGTAGTGACTAGCGATACATGCCACAATAAAACGGATGGACTCTATTACAGAATTTACAATATTTCCGCCTACGTACAGATCCATGTGATTTTTGCCACTGTTTATTTTTTTTAACGCACCCACATTGAATGTCGTCTTCGTCGGAAAATTCAGGTCTAGATTTTTCTATTTGAGCTCTAATTTCTTGTTGACTTTCATCAGGTTCTAAATACGAAGGGCTGAAAATTGTTATCGAGGGCCGTCTACATGTCCTACGTATATTAGGATACGATATTGGTTCTTGTGAAATTCTTACGGTGGACGGCAAAGGCATCGAGATGTCGTTAGAAATTTGCTCAGTCCTTGGGCCCGCTAAACTTCTTCGAGGCGCTGAATTTTGTCGCTTTAAAATATCTGAGTTACCATGTTCATCAGGCTCTAGGTTAATTACAGGAGTTTGCTGAAATAAATCTTGTACATGTCGACTAGGTACAGGATGTAACATTTCACCTGATTGTATATGGTGCTGTAAGAAAGGGGATGCCTCGATTTGGTTACGATTCCCATCTTGATGACGCATATAATCTTGATTAGAACTTGATTCGCTTGGCTGACGATATGTTGCTTTATATTGTGAAGGAGAATGATTTTTTATATCTTGCATGTTATAACCCCTTAAATAGTTAGATTCAGATGGTTTCGAAATTTCTGGTTTTGACGTTTGCTTCTGTGAATAATTTTGGTTGGCACTATCGTAACCAAGAATAATTTGATCGTAGCGACTAATTGGATTCTGATCAAGTGTATTTTGGTCATTTTTTGTCTGGAGCCTTTGCATGGGTTGATTTTTATTCACAGGTGTTAAAACGAGTCCGCTGTCGGATTTTTTATAACTTGTAATTGATTTACTCAAGTTGTCATATGTATCTTGACTGTCTTCTTTCATATTTTCACTTTGTGGAGTTACTGGTAAAAAAGAAAGCCACTGTTCGTTCCTAATATTTTGATTTGACAAATTACTTTGTGTTATTCCCAGTGACGCTTCATGTTTTTCATTAAGGCTCATCAAATTTTTCTTTTGAGCATTATGTGTGCTAAAATTAGGACTGTTTTCACGAGAATTTTGATAAATCGAAATTCTATTCGGCTGCGTACTTTTTAATGCTTCTATAAAAGAATCTACTTTTTCAGTTTCAATATTGTCATCGATTTTTTTTAGACACTTTATTATTTCTGTTTTGATTTTATGACAGTTCTCTGTTGCGTAACCTATATTTTCGAAATCAGTTAAGCGTTTAGCCAAAATAGCTTTGACCTGATTTTTAATGGCTATCTTATCCATACTCTGAGGCAGGGAAAGCTCATTGAAAAATTTTGTTATTTCAATTTTCATGTCTATTTCTTTAAGTTCTTTTATAACTATTGATTCACTAGGAGTAGAAATTTTATTCAATTCACATAGTAGCTGATTTCTTTTCATTAGTGGATCAGACGGCTTTGTGGTATATACGTCTTCATACTTCACTAATGTAAAAAAAATTTCAACAGAATTATCAAATTTTTCCTTCATTTGTATTCCCTCAATATCATGTTTATGATAGCGGTATAACAAATAGCTATCGGCAATTTCATCTGTCAAGGAAGCTAGCGCAATACTCGTGACATCATTTTGATTCTGAGGTGTTTTCAAAATGTTCTCTATTGTATTTTTTATATCTCGTCTGTACTCATATCTTGCCATTTCTTCTTTTATAAGGGGTTTTATACCCTTAATTGCGTTAATCAGTTGACATTTTTTAGAATCTTTATTTTCTTGAAATTCATAGGATGTTGGCAAGGTAGTCAATAGATTTTCTAATTCATCATCAAGCAAACCGTCATATAAAAAGTCATCTTCAAAAGTTTCAGGGTTCATGTTTAGTTCACTTATTTTCATAATTATTCTAATAGCAATATTTTCCTTCATGACTTTAATATTTTCTTTTTCTTGCACAGTGTTTGCTGGCATCGGAAGCTGTCTACACCAATTTTCTACGATTTCTATGATAGTGTCTGCTGGTTTTTTAACATCCTGTGTTGCAGTTGTGCGACAATAAGCTGGAAAAGAATATGACGGCGGAGTATACCATGTATCTTTGTCATTGCTAGATGCAGTCACTTGACTAGTCGCCAAAATTCCTTTACTTTCAATTTTATCATTTATCGTAGTTTGATGTGATGTATTCATGTCTCGAGTCACACATTTTCTGTCTTGCTGACTTCTTTTTAGTCTAATTTGTAAGTCTCGTGTAAAAATATCAATGTTAGTTTCTTCACCTGGTAATAAAGGTAATCTTAGCAACCACTTAGAAATTTCTTTTTGCATTTTATCATCTCTGCCTTGTTTATATTTTTCCATTTCACGAAGTCTCTTAGCTAGCATAGCTAAAATTTGATCCCACTCCAAAAGCTCTCCTACACCATTAGCTTCTCTCAGAGGCAATGTGTCAAACCAGTCATCTATTTCACATCGTGTCTTTATTTCTTCGACCTCCTCAGTGATTGAAGATTCATTAGGAAGAGGAACACTGAAAAGAGCACTGTATAGTTCATTGTAAATTTGTTCTTTAGTAAGAGGAATAGAATTCCTCATTTGAGCGTCTCTAAAATATTTATCTATTTCATTTTTTACTTTATTTTCATATTTTAATTTCATAGCATCATTACCATGGTCAAAATTTTCCAATATAAATATAGCTGCTAAGCGATCTTTATATATTTTAAACCCTGGACTATCTTCCTGATAAATAGAGATAGGGTATGGCATCGATATTTCTATAGTTCTTTCTAGGTCATGTTTATATTCTATTGCTGATGTCTTCTCTTTAATTTCATTTCGCTTGTCAGTAACAGCTTTCAATAATTGTCTCTTCAATTCATCTTTAACAATTTCAAGCATAGAATTTTGAGGAAGATTATTAAGTATTTTTTCTATTTCCTCACCTAGCAACTCCTGGTACAGTAGATTATTATTAAAGTATTCAGGATTCATATTTAACTCACCTACTTTCTGATAAAGTTTTGTAGCTATATTTTGTTTTAATTCTCTATCAGTATCTTCATTATCTGATTCTATGCGTAAATTTGAACACCATTTTTCTATTTCATTGATAACAACAATTCCAAGATCATCTGCATGATTATTTGTTAAATTTTTATTATAGCATGCCTGTGAATATTTACACATTTTACTTGAAACGTTATATTTTTCGGAGTCTTCTTTATTTTTGTATGATCGGTGTTTATTGATATTAACTCGTACTATTCTATTTAATAATTGTTGAACTGCAACAGGTAAGATAATTTCTTTACTTGAATCTAGTGGTAGTGCAGTTATCCAATTAGTGATATAATCTATTAAGCTACTGTCGATTTCTGACAATTCCTTATAATCCATTTGTACTTCAGATATTTTCTCAGCTAAAGTGCTTATCATATCAGCTATTTGATGTTGTGATTCTTTATCAGAAAGAGGTTGTAAAGGTAAATTTTTAAGCCATTGAGAAATCTCATTTGCGTATACTAATTCAAAACTAAATCTTCTAGCGGTTTCATTTTGCGATTTGGTCTTATTAACTTGGTTAGTGACTTGTGATTTACTTTGAGCCGTTAAATTTTCTACTTCCTTTTTATCTATTAGTTCAAAAAATCTTAAAACACAAGCTTTTAATTTTAAGTCATCTTCAGATATTTCTTTACTATTATTACGAATATATTCCTCGATAAAATTTGTTAAGTTATGATCAGTTATGTTTTCGCTTGTTGCTGAGCTGTTTCGATTTGTAAATTGACAACGTGATTTAGTTTTCTTTAGAACTACTAATTTGATACGTAGGTTATTGATTAAAGAATTAACATTTCTTCTATAATGATGTGATATTGGTAATTGTTCCAAAAATTGGTTAATAAGGGCTGTTAAATATTTATTATATTCGTTTTCATTTGAGGACCTCATCAGACCCTCGTCTAAATCGTTTATGCCTCTCGCTAATTTATTTATTAAAATTGCAAGAACTCTACGATCTATTTCATTAAACGAATCTTGCAAAGGTAATGTTTTTAGCCAGTCCGTAATAAGATTAATGTATTCTAATTCCTGAGACAACTTTTCTATAATAACTTCTTCCTGCTGATAATTTTTTGTCAAGTCACCATTTGTGAGATCTAAACATGAACTAAGTTTATTAAGTTCGCTTTTCAATAATTGACTAAATGCGTCTCTAGCAATTGAATCTTCTGGATCATAGCTATGCTCTAAGTACTTAGCTATATAATCCTTTAAGATGCTCTCTGTTGCCTCCATTTTATTATCAGTGCTACTTGTACTAACATCATTTAAATTGTCATTGCCAACAATTTTTTTCACACTTTCTATAATTTTTTTGCTAAGTTCAAGTATTGTTTGTTTTTCTTCTGCATTTATTATTTCTTTAAGCCAGATGTCTATTGCTTTTGAAATATCATTCAAAGTTTGTTTTTCTGTTATCAGGTTCTGGATTGTAAGTACCAAATCGTTAATTAGTTTTGTTTTCTTAGTATTATCCTTAACTAGTATCATATTTGGTGACAGATTTAACAAACTTGTAATTTCATCTTTCAATATTTTCAATCCATTTTTAATTTTCTTTTCTGAATAACTTGAGCTGTTATTATTTGTATTTGAAGGAGATAGCCATTTATTAAATTTTCTTCCAGACGGCTCAGGTATATCTTTTAACATTTGTACAAGCTTATCTACAAATGGTTTGGCTTCATCAATATTTTCAAAATATTCTAATCTATTTAACCATCTATATATAAAAAAAGATACATATTTATCTTTTTCATTGCTTACTTCTGCTAACTTATTCAATTTTAATTGATCTAAGATATCAGTGGCGAGGCTATTTACAAACGTGTCTCTATTTTTTTTATTTTTTGGTATATGTGAATCGACGGGCAAAGTATCTAACCAAGTTATAATTACAGCTGTTATATCTTTCGTATACTTTTTTTCTCCAGGCTGTAATTTGGAGTTCTTCTTCTTTAAAATACTCGATCTCATTCTATTAGTGAAAGTATTAGAATGATTTGATTGTCCCATTAGTTCATGTTCCGATTTATAAACGGAAATAACATTATCATATCCTAGTTCATTAATATTCTCTTTCAAATCAAAATTATTATTTATTGTAACAATATCGTCCATTATATCGTCAATTATAGCATCAACATCATAAGATAATCCTGTAGAATATTTTAAGGTCGTAGACAGTTGCTTTTTTAAATGCTGATTTCTATTTATGTTAATCGACCCTGTGTTTTCAAATATACATTTGGTCATATTATTAATCAGACGATCTGAGTAAATGCCATGATTTACCAGAGCATTTACTACGGTATCATAAATTAATCTTAAAAAAATCATATTTTCTTTATTACTAATCCCGAAATCTTTATTTATTCTATTTTGGATAAATACACTCTGGATCATTCGGTTATTTTTTTCTATTAAGAGAGTTATTACTAAACTTTCGGCTAATTTGTTCAAGTGTGCGATATTCGCACTGCTTAAAGATGTATCAATATTTTTCATTAGAAAATTCAATATTTCTCCTCTTAATAAGCCCTTTCTGTCAGATATGTAAGTTTTAGTTTGTAATATAGGTTGTAAGTGATTACAGAAATCCTCAACCAAAACTGGCAAATTTTTACTTTCTAAATTAATGGTGCCTTCATTTCTTAATTCAAGTATCCAGTCTAATATCTTTTGTTTGAAAATATTACTACTATCATTTTTTTCTACATCCTCTTGCGATATTGTATCTTCATAAATATTCTCATAGAAAGGCATAATATTTGTTAAGATATTCTGAATTTGAGTATCAACATATTTCTTATCTCTATTGTTAACATTATCATATTTATCCATAGATTCTTCTGTGGGTATGTCAACAGATGAGATCTGGGTGCTTGTATCGCTGTACTGCACTCTCGAACTTTCAACTTTATTTTTAATATCAGCAGTACTCACTGCAGTATCGTTTGTTTTAGACTTGATTACGCCTGATTTATTTTTATGTTTTGTGGCTTTTACGTCATTATTCATCGTTTTCTTATTAAGATCATGTATTTTGCTAAGAAATATCTCCCTCAAAGTATACATATCTAGTTCATCGTCAACACCATTTCGAATGGAATTCAAAAAGTTATCTATTTCTTTGATGAGTTTTAAATTATAGTATTTGTCGTTTATTTCTGAATATAATTCGTATATTTTTTCTAACAATTCATTAAGTACATTTTGCTTTGTGTTTTCCTGTTCCTCGATTACAATTGGTAAATTATTGGAACATTCCAAAAGAAGTTCTTTTAAATCTTCCTTGTAGTTGGTTTTGTATTTTCTTTTTTCAGGTCGATTTAGACTAAGGTCAGATGTTGATGTTTGTTCCTCTAATTTTACAATAGAAATGTTACTTTCCGATGGCATTTGAAGTCCAGACTGAAAAGAAATCATGAAATAATTTATAGCGTAGTAAAAGTTTTTATATTATCAAAACTATTATAAATTCTAAAAAATTTTAAATAAAATATAACTCCATATATTTACAGGTTTACGATGATTTTTAATCTGCTGACAGCTGCGAGTACGGGATGTATTTGAATGATGGGATAACACATGATGGTCGAGACGTTCCCTAATAATTGGACATTGATTTTCATTGCAAGACTGTAAATAAAGCATAAAAGTAAATATTTCCAACAAGAAAAGCTAATGGTAGTTCATGCAGTGGTAATGCGTTCGCTTGGAAAAAGTAGTCCGCACCTCTAGGATTTCATGTGAGGGTCAGTTTCAACATAATTACTTTTCGCCAAATGGTGAAAGAAAACAACCATGAGGAAACCTACATGTGAACAAAGTGAGAGAACAATTTTTTAGGGTTCGTACCTGAATGATGCCAACGGAACCCTATTACTAAGCCTCTGCTGTTCGTCCGTCAATCAGTGGGATGTATCTCATGAACCGTAATAGATACAGAGTTGAAATTTTCACATAGTATGAATTTTTAATAATTCCCCTTATATCAACAAATAATAAAATTAAAAAAAAGATACAAGAAAAAAATTTTAACGTTCCTAATCGATCATCGAAATTAATACCGGTACTACATACATAGAGTAAGAGTCATATTAGTAAAAAGTACACGAACTTTATGGTACGAAACCCTTCGTGTGCGAATTTGACACGCACTTAACCGATTTTTGATTTCATAAGACGTATTATGAACTCCTCACATTCTTGTGAGGGAGGTCAGCACTCAGTAGAGAGATGTTAAAACAAAGGGCTCCATGAACATGAGAATTAGAGAAAAAATCGACGATAAACTATTATGAATGTACAACCTAAAGGTCTAGAAATTAGAAATTTTGTAAATATCTTTATGAAACTGGCTTTTCAAAGATAATATATATTTCGTAGTTCTAGATTAATAAATGCCTAAGTTTCTAGTTACCAAGAAACGAAGATTTGTCTTAAAATACTACATTAAATTTAAAGACTTCTTACAATACAAGATTTGATCCTTTCTTTTATTATACTGTGTATGCTCTCCATGGGTCAGTTGATAAAAAAATACTAAAGTAACTTTTACTTTATTTTTTTTTAATAATATAAAGCCTTAGGTTGTGATAAAAAACCACACATTGTTCCTGTCCCTTCTTTCTTTATGTAATTTATCTATTATTTAAGAATTTCAAATAAATAATTATTTAAACTTTTGAATTTAAAAACATTTTTCCTATGTTATGAAAGCTTTCAAATTTTTACATCTTTCAAATTATTTTGATAGATTTTTTTTATGAAAGAAATTTCGTTTTACACACACGTATTAATTACCTACTGTGTGAATTAAATCGAAAATTCTACTATTAGCAGAATTATTCTACAAAGGAATTCGAACATATTTTTTCATTAGACAGCATTAGGCATTCTGAAATTAAGAGTATGGGTGGAAATAAAATGCAAATATTGGATGTTTCAATAATGACCACCGATTTGTTTACTTTAAACTAAGAAGGAGCCTGTTGGGAGGCTCCTTCTTAGTTTAGCATAGGTGATATTATTGTTCGCCCAGGAGATATTATTGTAAAACAGAAACAAGTGCACTCCCTTCACTTTCTAACACAAAGTCCAGGGGGACGACAATTCAACACGACCAATAACAGGTCAGACGCAAGATTACGTAATTTGCCTCAGCTTGGGTATCATATGCCGCCAACTTCCCAACTCCAGGCTATTATTGAAAATTTCTGAACAGAAAATTCAATGATAATAAAACTTGGCCCGACCAGATCAGTAAATATTTTACATATATTTTTACCCGATGCGGCTAAGTCCAAATGATAGTTATGTGTTTGACCTGTATATACTCGTATGTATGTCCGAATCTATGTTCAAAATGGCGGTAAATCAAAAGTTATTTTCTACCAAAACTACAAAGCTGTAAATAAAAAAGAGGACAAGTTGACGAAGGGACATAGTACTATGCAGTCGGAGACATACACACTTTTTTTAACATTCAGCCATTTTTATTTTCAATAGGTAACGCACAATGAAGCTGATATGTATACATAGGAAACTATAAATAAAGACGAAAGAATCAGCAATATAACACCCTAAAATGTCATGTTTCCAATATATTTGTAAGCACAGACCAGAAACAACAAAAAAGTTTTTTTTTGAAAGTAAAGATCGCCATTTGAAAATAATGACAAATGATTAAGAATGAAATCATTAAGCGTCAGTTATATTCAAAAAATAGTATTCGTAGTTCTCATTTAAGCAATTCTTACCTCAGAATATCTCATAAATGTGACTCTTTATAGCACACTATTGCCGTTTTTAATTGTTTGTTATATTGTGTTCTATCCATCCTTATCAGATATATACATATTATATCCATGTTCATCCTGATTCGCTACTTTGAAATAAAATTAAAATGGTTGTACATAGGTTGCTGATGCTAGCCTTCATAGAAAATTTTGGAACCTGTTGAGCCATTTATAATACTCTTGCACAAACTGGCTACGAGAAAAAAAAGAAAACTTTTGACAGAAGTGGGTGACAGAATTTGTAAGAACATGACGATAATTAAACTCTAAATTTTTGTTGCCTTAAAATTTTGCGTTTAGTATTTTTTTTATTACAATTTTATCGGGAAATGTGAGTATTTCTTATAAATTATTTTCTGTAGCTATCTTAGATGAATTTTGGCAATGATAAAATAAAATTCTAAACCTACATATGTATATCATTGTAAGATAAATAATTATGGAGTGTACCCTTAAGCCAATCGTGGAGTATATTACAGCTTCAGGGTTCAGTGGTTTACTCTAATACTTAAATTTAAACAAATATTTGACATTTTAAATCATGGTCATCAATCATGCAGTAATAATGGTCACCGAAGAGATTTAGATGAGCTTAAACAGAACAATGTAAAGTACGCTTGATGTTTATGATACTTTAGTACTCGTGAAATTTTTTATGAACTAATTCGTGAGTCAAAGGCAGGCAGCGAACGGAACTTCGTTCCTGCCAAGTGTCCCACGACGTCTCTTCTTTTTTAAATTAATATATTGATAAATTGATTTTTATTCAACGATACCATAGATAAGCCTCCATAACCAAAAATCAATTAGGACATTGCACATGAAACTGATTTTCCTACATTTATATTTAGTGTATTTTTTATTTCCAGGCCTATACCCACCTGCGAAGTCTGGCAGGGTTACTATCGGCCCGAACTGTGCTATTCTTCATCTCGTGTTATTAAGATGACGGTTAGTTGCGAATGTTTAACATAACACAATAAGAACTGGGTATAACTGGAACCAAAATTCTATGCCTTTTAGTGGTTTCGGCTAGAAAATAACTAACATTTAAAGTTTTGTTGATTGTGGTCGTGTTCTCTCGTGTCTGTCTATATGGTAATTTGACCGTCTTTCACGTAAAAATTACTAGGTTGCACAATACAAGTTTTTATTTTTATGGGAACCTTTTTATCCCAGAAATATGAAAAAGTTCGTCTAGGAAAGAAAAAACGGGTAGCATATGAAAATTCTTGAATTTTGCAATAACTGTTGCGTTGATTTTAATTTAAAGTGTATAGTATTTATTTAATAGACAAATGACTTTTTATTGTACTTTTTATGATGTAGATTTACAGAATTCCTTCGGCAAAGAGGAAAATAATTTTATCAAAAATTCTTTTCTTATGTCGAAGTACTGTATTGTGGCGTGGATTTTTATATAAATTTGCGAGATTATTACTTAGTGGTTTTGCAGTATTTTCAGTCTGATGTAGATTTAACAATTTAACGATCGTTAAAAGTCAGCACAAGAAAGCTTAAGAGTAAATCCCAACTGTTTTATATTTCAATATCTATACATATAATAAAACAGTAAAAAGTTAAAAATAATGACTGTAACGTATTGTGCGCAGAATGTAAATCCCAAAACAATAGTTATTAAATTTTTTGTGTGTTTGTCTGTTTGTGTGTTCGCGATTCATGCAATAAGTACTGGACTCAGGTCAACATTTAAGATACCTTTTACATGAAAATCTTTCATTCCCACGAGAAAACAAAATTTACATGTCTTGCTGGCAAAACCTTAAGAGATACATCAAAACAATGTACTAGAAAATTATAGGTCTTAATAAAGCCTACAGAAAAATCTGCAATAATCTGCTGTCTTTCTTCTAAGGTACACTCGCAAATAACTATTCATATCTATTTAAAATGTATACTTACTAAAATTTGTATCATCACAAAACTATAACAGGCAGAATTTACCCAAAAAAAAAACAAGAAAAAAATACCCAAACAATTTATTAAGATTAGCAAAGATAATTTAAATTTCACAGCATATCCCCCTCTATCCTCAGTGATGGACAGCGAGGGAACTGTGGCTGTGGTACGTGGTTTGCCGGGCGCGGGATTGACGGTGACACTGGTCGATTCTGGACGACAGTATACTTTATTGCCTGAAAATTGTATGTTCTTATTCCATTTATATCTACGCCAAAACCTTATACCTATTAAGAAATTTCTGCCCATCTGATCCTTTCTGTTTATCTCCAGAATAGCACAGACAATTTTAACGTGACATTCACTGGCATAAAGAGGATTAGTTTAAGAGTTATAGGCTACCTTTCAGATTGTAATCCGTGCGTGAAGTCACGAGAGAAGGCTTGTATATCAATATACTTATATTAAATAAATATGTCATAAAGTGGAATCTTTATCAAATTAGTGTTTTTGAATATGTCTATAATAATAATAATTAAAGTTGCAAAAAGATTCTGGAGACTTATGTAAGCTATTTGAATAATTCTCTTTTAACCAGTTACTCATCCAATATCGGACCCAAGACCTCATGAGTGTCACACAATGGCGTCACAGTGCGCGAGCTACGTGGCGCAACGGGAGAGCGGCGTGCAGGCTACTGATGGAAGATACGCAAGCACTTACAAGGTATAATGAATTTATTTATTACTAGCTTCCCTCGGGTTCGTCCCTAATTATAAACGTCATTTTCATATACAGGCAACGATTAGGCTTGAGCAGGCCGTTAAAGCGGCTAGGTATTTAGCGCATTTTAATCTAGACTTGATTTGCAAATGTTAAGATTGAAAACTATTTTTTTTTTAAATTAAAATAAAATATAGCCTAAAACCGTCAGGGATAATGTACGTTTCTATTAGTGAAAGAATTTGAATTCGCTTCAGTGGTTTCATTACATGTGTACAAACAAGTTTTATCTCTTTAATATGTAAGTATAGATTACATATAAATATATGTATGTATATGCAAAAAAAACATCGTGAGAAAACTTGCATGCCTGATAGAACCTAATCAGTTCTAGAAAGACGTGAAGTCCGCCAAACCACACATGCCCAGCGTGGTAAGCTATGCTAGATTGTTGCAATTTCCAATACACAATGGCCCGTGCTCAGCAGGTCGTTAAAATCAAAAGGCTTGAATTAGATCTTCGAGCAGAAGACATATTTCTACTAAAATAGACGATAATAGTAATCCTTCTTTTTAAGACTTTGTTCGTCTGTCACTGCCAATCGCGAAGGAAGTCTTTTGTAATTGACACACTAAGTACATTGCCAATTATGAAGGAATTTACAAGTTCAATTCTCGTTTTCCTCATTAAGTCACTGCGTGACATAACTCCATGGCAATATAAAATAAACACTTTCGCTATCATTATTATTAATTGAAATTTTTTTTAGATGATGCACTGTCACATGACACCAACCTCACCACCGGAACAAGTTACAGAGTTCCCGCCACAAAGAGCTGAGGTCTACCCAGGTAACCTAAATCTATACTTTTATAATTTCGGCTATAATAAATAACAAAATCTGATTATATTTCTAAAATTCAACTTAAGTAAGCAATCTATAAAAATAAGTAGCCATTCACGCTAAAGAAACTATAAAACAAACTCGTCTGTGTAAACACAACGGCACTCTCTATTTTCTTACTTTCATAGATAGGTTACCTAATACTTTCTTAGATTTACGCGAATATTTGACATTTTAAATAAAACTATCTTTTCGGATTTTGTTGCGGATTTATTTTGATTTTTTGAATTCATTTTGTTATTTGTGGGTAGGCTGTCTGTAGCAACTATATAATTCCTTTGAGACATGAAACACTTTAGTCGAGACAACAACATTCGAAACGTCGGGAACCAAAAATCCGAGATATATAATCCTAAAAGATAGTTTGATTTAAGATAGATTACCTGTTGAAAACAATCGGGACCGATTCCACATAATAAATGAGTTGGTACATAAAACAATAAACTCTTGGGTACTCCTGAGTATTTCTCGACAAAAATCGCTTTAGAGTTTAAGCCAATTTGTGGACAGATTAAAAGAGTACTTTGAAGAAGATATGTGTCTTGGTACAAAAGTAAGTTATTAATACTTTGAAACTATAAACTAAACAGGACTATTAAGAATCTTATTTAGATTTTTGTAATTGTTTTTTTTTTATATAATTGTAAATAGGTCATGGTAATTTCGAAGTCGGTGGGCCCGGGAGTGGAGAGAGCTTCTGTCACGCTACTAGATGCAATAGGTACAGAGGAGGGATGTCTTGGCCAGATAGAGGTACTTTACTGTTTCATAAGTGGTAGGTACTTTATACCTAAATTCGACTTTCAAAATCATCTTAAAAGTTATTAAGTAAGTTTGAAAATCATGTTGTAATTTATATGGTAACAAGCTACATAAATGATTTTGCTTTATACATTATAATAAATCAATCCATAATTTACTTCATTTTTTTCATCTCTTTCCAGGTTCAGTCTTTAGTCCTAGACCCTCGCTGCAACAAGACTCATTTGCGACCTCCCTCCGCAAGTACCCAAGCTTGGCTCCAGATAGGTCTTCGGAGATTGTAGAGCAACTTATAAACTTTACTCAAGCTAAAAACAGTATGTTATATTAGTATGATACATACATTTATGAGAGTAATTTTTCAGATCACTTTGTTTATATACTCATATTATTGACTTTTGCCCATAGCTGCGTGGACAAATTTCATTAAATCTTTTTAGTTTTGTACAACTATAACCATCTAATTTCAATATGTGATTGGTTACTCAGAAAGAAAAGGTGAACGTTACTTAAAAAGTAAAATAAAAGTAAATTTCTTTGCCATATTTCCATTCTTTAAAGAGATCTCGTTTCATATTCTCAATCTTGTAAGTAATTCCTAATAATTGGCTTTTAAATACTAACATACTTTTGATTTTCAGCGTCCAAAATTAGCAAGAATCATTTATCTCCAACTCGCCACATCGACTCAGATCAGTCCAACCAAACATTTTGTTTGGTAGAGAGTTCGTCCCGCAATACGGCGGTGAAGTCTGTGAGAGGTTACGAGCCTGAAGTACATATCAGGCCTAAAAGGTATTATGATTAGCTGCCAGTTTAAACGACTTATTGTTACGATATCGTTTAGGAGTAAGGAAGAGTACTTATATTAGCACTAGCGACTGTGTGACTTTTTGCTATTTTTATTATTTTATTTCTTACCGTTTAAATAGCGCATGCCAATAAACCATTCAATAGCTAGTCTGTGTTCGACATCAGTTAATATTATTAGTATTTCTGACAATAAGCACATTTTTATAAGTGGACGGAATAAGAAGTAGTCCAGGCAATTATGGTGGCCCAGTGATAACGCGCTCGTTTGGAAAACCGAATGATGCGGGTTCAAACCTCTAATATTTTCCATTCGCGAATGATTTCGAACTTAATTACCACTTGACTTACGGTGAAGAAAAACATCGTGAGGAATGCTGCGTGTATAAGAGAACTTACTAAGTTTTCGAAAGACTTGTGCAGTCCGCCAACCTGCACTTGGCCAGCGTAGTGAACTATGTCCGGATCTCCTTCGTACTGAAAAGAGGCCCATTTTAAATTTCAGACTCGAAGAGTCTCCTACACGTGAAAGACCCAAGAACACGCGATCACACGATTCAGATGCGATCGAGTCTTGGAAAAGGTCGACGTTTTGTAGAACAAATGATGTCAGGTACCTGAGAAACGTGTCAAGAAAATTCAGGGAAGGTATTCGTAGTCTCTCAGCACAAGTGAGTCTAGTTTCAGGTTTTAAGTTTTAAGACATCCCAATTTTTGACTGTGACTTCGCAATCGTGGTAAAAAAATAATAATATTCCGGGGTATAAGCTATCTGTATTCAGAATTTTACCCAAATCCGCTAAGCAACACAATAATTTAAAACAACCGATCTCACCTGATGATGTCACCCTCATCATCAACGGGTATAAAGAGCTTAACTCTTCAATGTCTAACAGTAAAACCTCATAGGCTGATTAATTTGTATAAGTCACCTACAGTTAACAAGTTGATTAAAAGTGTGGTTTTTAACTTATTTTGCTTTAATCTTTACAGGCTAATAGTGAACCAGAACGACTTAATCCAAAAGAAAAATGTGATTCGGCTAATCTTAACCAAAGAAAACCTGCTGTTCAATGGGTCAGTACTAGACTGTTATTCAAAACTATTATTTTTTGATCGACTTCAACAAAGAAGGAGTAATCCAATCAGGTGTAGGTTTTTTGTTTACTTTAACGAAGAGGCGAAAGAAAACGAAGGAAATCCAGCCTTCCATTCACTAAATATAATTTTTACTCTGGTTTTTAAATATAGCATCTCTTATTTTAAGAGATATTTATCTTAAGAGATCTGAGACATTGCATGGATTCTAACGAAAGTAATCTTGTAGTTTTATATAAAGATCATTATGTCCTAAGTTTGATTTCTGTGTGTGAATGATCCATATATATTATTATATAAATATATGTATGTTTGTCCCGATCTGGTTATGTCAAGAAAACTACCAAAAAGCTGTCAATGTAGACGATATGATTATTATCACTGCAAACTTTTATATCATTATACTTGCACATACTGTACTTAGACACTTTTTCTATACTATGTAACATAATATGTATATTTGAAACGTGTTTTCATATTCACCAAATGAATACCCTTTAACTTCCATGATCTCTTTTACAGAGTACCAATTCGGTGAATATGGAAATACAAGGTAATTAGCAATCTCTAACTTCTCTTCTCTTCCTCTTTCCAACGCTTATCAGTAGTAACTAGTAACTCAACCAAGTGAGAAAGTGTCGAATAGCCTAAGCCCAAAGACCACAAAAGAAGCCCTAAAGAGACAATATCTCGTTTAATGCTCTTGGAAACACCTAAATTCCTAAGGCCTACTCCACACTTAGGTACTGATCCCGGTTCGTTATTAGGTCGATTTCGTTCTGATAAAGTGTTTTATATAGTGTGGATCGGGCCTAATCGTTCTAGAAAAAGGTCTAAAAAAAATTAATTGTATATTTATTAAGTGTATGCAGGCAGTGCTTGTATTTAGGTTTAGAGATTTCAGTTTGATCAAAATCTATCGAAATATCTTATGTAATTATATTATAACAAATAACAATATTTATTTACACATGCAATATCTATTTGCAGCGGCTGTACAGATGATATCACAAGAAGTTGTGACTGTCCCGAGAATTGTGCCATCGTTGAGAACTGTAAGCATAATTAATCTGCAAAAAGTATTGTAGTTAAATGACTATTTGCTAATATAATGCATTATGAAGCAGATTTCAGTATTCGTTTTAGAATTTAGAGTAGTACTTAGAATATGCAGAGGCGGACCGTGAATTTGAGAGGCCCTGGGGTCACACTTTGTGGGGGTCTAATATTGATAATTAGTTTAATTAATTACAATTAAACTAATTGTCATTTTGTCTTTACAAAAGCTTTAATGATAGATGGTACTAGATGAAATTTAGATAACGGTATTGTATGGTTCCGGGTTATGGCCTTATTTCAGGGTTATGGCCTTATTTTTTATTATTATTTTAGATAAGCTTTTATTTTATAACATTATCCATTGTTCTCAAGAGGGGACCCGTTATATTTTATTGGCCCTGGGCTGCAGTCCAAAAAGCATATATATATATATATATACACACATCCACCCCTAGAGGATATGTTACTAAATTTAGCCAAAGTGACAAAATTATATTCATACACGAATCAAATTTGATCGCATGGTCTCATCGGCATGTCTAGCTACTGCACTAAATAATCAACATATCCTGAATTTATCACAAAATTAGAGAATTGAATAATATTAACTTATTTTTTCAGATAGCTATACCTCTAACGCCAACGCCATCTAAAATTAAAGACCCAGTAGACAGTGAATACCATCAATTTGAACAAAACAACATAGATTTAACATCGATTGTTCAAACAAAACTAACTCTAACTGATATGACAGTACAAACAGTCATAAGTAACACAGCTATAAATAATGAACGAAAAAATAAATTTTCATGTAAGAGACGTAGTAAATCTGAAGAAGAAGTAAAGAATTTAACAAACTGTAAATCTATACAAGGCTTCCATAATACAAGCTGTTCTAAAGCTAGATGTAGCCATAAGACTCATAGATATAATAGATCCTTTAGGGCTTTGTTAAAGTTGGCAAAGAATGTTGAAAAATATTCAAAATACGATGAAGCGAAAAGTTTAGCTGAAACTAACAAAACTTTTAAATGTTTATCAGTTTCTAAAATATGTTATGCCAAAATTGCTCGTAATAGAATTGTAGATGAAGATGTTATAGTTGAAGTGCTAGAGGATTGGGTAAATTTGATTCCGCTGAAAATTAATAATCCTTATGAAAGGCAAATTGTGAAGGAGTATGTACGGTATAATTTATTTGATTTAATCAAAAAATCCTTTTGGTACGTACAGCTAGAAGGCAGATATAATTTAGATAAATTAAAATGTGATATTATAGACAGATTAGAGTTTATTCCGTTAGAGATAAAAGGCAATAAGAAATTGATTTTACAAAAATTGGCTCATAATTTACTTACTAAAATAAAATATAGTGGATATAGAAAATTGAATTATTATAAAATTCAAAGCGATGATATACATACGAAATATAATTGTGTATTTCAAAGATATATCGCACCAACAGAAAATGAAATAAGGAAATTTATATCTCACGAACTTGAACTGATTGAACAAAATTCTGATCTTAATTTAAATGAACAAAAGTATAAAGATATGGAAGAAGATTTAGTTGATGTTGCCATGATTGCAGTGGAAGTGTTACGTTGTGGTAGCGAAAATCACATTAAAAAAGACATAGCGGAATTATTGTCTGATTATGGCATATCCGAAAAGCGTGCGTTTTATTGCACTAATATTTTGGTAAAACATTTAAAAGATACATTTATTTACAATATATATACGGATAAAGTTAAAACGGACACAATCATCGTATTACCTAATTATCAAAATGTGTATCACAAACCAAATCTTAATGGATCTGATTTGACAGTAAAAAGTATAACTGATGATGAAATAACAGCAAACCTTGAACATTACATGAACGAATTGTGTAAGCTAATAGATGAATGGCTTTCGTCTTTACATTTACCCCAAACGCAAGATTCGGAACTTCGGAGAATAGTAGTTAATGATTTAGCTAGTGATATAGTTGACAGGTACAAGTATTTACATCTAAATACAGAACAGAAAATTTCTAATGAAACTGAACTTGAACATCTCAAATATCAGATATTCAAGTGGATAAAAAAACTTGTTGGGGAAGATAATTTAGAACCATTAAAACATGCTATGGAATTAATGAGTCGAATCAGGCAAATACATGTCCCTATACTTTCAAAAACTGCAAATAAATCTTTAAAATATGATACGACATATGATGACATAAGCAAACATCATGTCCCTTGCCAAAATATAATATGCAATACTAATATGGTACAAACGAATGCCACACAAAGTAGTGATAAAAATTCTATGAATGCAACACAAACGCCTAATTTGTCTATACCAGAGTATAAAAGTAACAATGCACCTGTATCACGTACAATTCCGTGTGGTCCTAATATTACAGTTAATAATTCAAAGTCCACAGAACAACTCGAAGCCGAATATGAACGATTTGTAGAAGATTGGGTGCGAAGAATACCTATTGAAATCTCAAGCGAGGGAGAAATAGACATTACCGAAAAAGCGAGAGTAGGAATCTATAATGGTCTATGGAAAATTGTTTCAAAATTAAACTGCGACCCTGCAACTTATTATAACAGATTTTTATACGAAGATTTGTTAGATGATGCAATTGACGATCTCTTAGATTGTTTACCCCAAACAACAGTGTTGCAATCAAGAAGGCATATACTAAAAGTTGAATTTATCGAAAAAACTGTTGATATCAACGATAAAATAAAAGAAATTGAAGAATCATCTTTCAGAAATAAGGTAATGAGAAATCTTGTTACAAATCTGCGCAAACAAGGAATTACGGAAAATCGAGGGGATGATCCTATAAAGTTGCACGAAGATCTACAATTAATAAAGATAGTAGAAGACTATCTTTTATCTGTAAGATTCAGAGATGAAGATAAAATAAAATCTGAAGTGTATAAAAAGAAATTAATGAAAGAAGTAGAAAATTTCGTAAGAGATTTAAAGAAAAACCATTCCAAAGAGCTAAAGGACATTGACGTTTCCTCGTATAAAGCAGATATTGTTAATATTTTACAAAAAATACCAATACCCAGCGAAAATACTATGAAACAAGAAGCTGATGATGTACTTTTAGGAATTGAAATAGAACAGTGGTACAGAGATTTACCGATTGTTCCAAACGATGACTACACTGAGCAATATCGAAGACGAAGGCAGAGAGATATTTTAACAAAGAAAATAAAAGAATTGGAAGCCAATGACGAATCTTCAGAAAATGCACTTAAGAATGAGGTTTCTAGATTTTTAGAAAAAGCACCTTTAAAAGAAGGGGAGAGCTTAAATATTAACTTTATGGTAGATGAGCTAGTTAATAGGATAAAAAATAAATATGAAACCGATCTGAGCAATAAAAAACCAATATTGCAGGCCGCTGAAAATTATGATGACTTTAGCAAAAATGTACCACTTTGTTCCAGTTTAATCGCAACACCAACTCGAAAAAATACATTATCTTTGCCTGATGATAACACTATGAGATATCTTGCTCAAAAGTCTCAGTGTGAAAAAACTTGTGTGGGTCAGCAAGCTAAAAATATGGTTGGAACACATCAAGGTAGTAATACTATAAATTCAATTAATAATCGGAATCGCGTTGTTATTAGAGAACCACCAAGCTATAGAGTATTTGATGAAGAAAGACCAATCAGTTCATCATTTAAAGAACAATCCAATCAGCAATGGCACACTATTGAAGAGAGCCAATTAGCAACCACTTGTAAAGAACATATAAGTATGTGTAGTTTACCACAATATGTTAGTTCCATACCAGGTGATGAATTAAATACACAAAGAAGGGGTCAAGACTGTTGTCAAAAAGCTCTCGCTCAGCTTGCATTAGAAAATAATGCGGAACCATCATATTACCCAAGTGCTGGCACATCAAGAGGAATAAAGACTGATAAGGGAATTTTAGGAATAAGTCAAGTTGCAGGACCGAGTGGTTATAAACCAAGTTATTCCGAATATGCTTTAAATGATTCAAATCAAGACCAACGACCAAGTCCTATTCAGTTTCGACGTCCAAGCAACGTTTCTTTTCAAGATAAATATTTTGAGCGTAAAGAACCAAGTCCAGAATCCTTTTCAACTAAATGCTCAATAGAATGTCAAACGGAAAAAACACTTTTTCGGAACCAACCTCCAGATGAAATAGATTATTCTATGCAAGGTAAAGTATGCAGAGCCATTGACACACCAGATTTTCAAGAAAATGAACTAATATTTGCATCTACTCCTCAACAAACCAAATGTCCTTCCATACCATCAGTTCCAAGTAAAAAAAGAGCTAACTTAGCCATCACTGAAAATGATAATGTCAGAAAACGTCTTGATTTAGATAATACTGATGACGATGACGTTCCATGTCGGTGTATAGAAAATTTTTGGAAAAAACGACAAAATTCAAAACATTACCCATGCGAGAACTCCGATCGGTATCCTCTTTATCTACCTTTATTCTTTCCTTATCCCTATCCAACTTATCATTAAAAGTTTCTTGTTAAGTACACTTAAATTGTGACATTCATATTTTAAATATTGTTACATAAATATATTTGGTCAGTTTATTATGGTTATTTTATAATAAACTCCTTATTTTTACTTTTCAATTTTTATTTAAGCTCCCTGCATCGGCTTATTTTCATTATTAAATACTCACTACTTTGTTAATAGGACTTCGGACCCATGATTACACTGTTTTGTTACACTGGTGTAACTAGTGAGCATAACTGTGCCTGATGGTTACACTAAATTAAAAACTGAGTTTACCTATGATAGGTCACATTATTACATCAAAAACTATTTATTAGCCATATATTTAAAGTAAACAGACAGTTATATACGGTTAGGTTTGGTAAGTTTTATTTTTTGATTATGTGTTTATGTTGAGAAGGCTAAGGCGGGAGCTACGTCTTACTAGAAAGAAGCCTTTCTTTTTTTCTAAGTTAAATGAGGTTAGAACAGTAACCACAACGCCAATCGTGCGTTCACCTTGTCGTGGTGGGGGGGCTCAGTAGTGCCCGGAAATACAGCCGGGCGCGAAGCCAAGAAACGCACAGGTAGGTGGCCCACTTCGGTGGGCGGTGTACCATGCAGGTTGTTCCTGGTACTTCTCTGATAGCAGAGTAGACCTTGAAGCAACCCCGTGGTTGTTGTGGTCTGCTTCGGCAGACCTGCCGTCGGGGCGTCGTAGTTGAATGCGTAAGCGATCCTGCGACGCCCCATTAAGACGGGGGAAGGCTTTGTTGGGTTTTAGTGCTTGAAATGCTTTAGAAGAATCCAAGTACCTATTAAAAGGAAAAATTATAAATAAGCTTAATTTCAATGACTAACCTAATAATAATAATGATAGGCTATCGTTTTCTTAGTTTACCCATTGTCATAGATTTTATATCAGTGTACACTTTTTATATATATCCTATTCGCAGTATAACCACGGGTCCGAAGTCGCTAATAGAAAGTGATTGCTTTATAAATTACTAATAAAACCCGCGGCTTCGCTCGCACTAAAACTACAAAAAAAGATCTAAAAAGGTAGGTTTCATACAGACTTTCATCCCCTAATATACCCTAATTGAGGGTTGAATTACGAAAAATACTAAAACACGTACTCGTATTTATTGAAATGTATTGAAGAGCATCAATACCAAGTTTCAAGTAATTCTGATCAGAAATATTTTTTTTGGGTTGTATTATAACGTGTATTCCCGTGGGAATGAGATAACCTACCACGGTAAAAAGTATGCCCATGTCACTCTAGAGCCATCCAACTATCTCCACATAAAAAATCACGCCAATCTATCACTTTGTTTCGACGTGACAGACAAACAAACACATGTTCACATTTTGAAAATTAGTATGGATTAACTCCCTCGGTGGTCCAGTGGCTAGCATGTACGGCTGCAAATATGGAGGTCCTGGGTTCGAGTCCCGAGTCGGGTCAATATGTTAGGGAAGTCTCAGTAGTAGCCCGGAGTTGGGAAGTTGGCGGTATTTCACTCTCATATCTCGGAGAGCATGTGAAGCCGTCGGTCGAGCGTCTAATTTCTCACTGGTCATGTCAATTTTTTTTTAGACTGACAGGATTAAAGAGTGCGCTAGTATCTGTGCGTACACGCGCTGCACTATATATTATGTAATAACTCCAACGCAGTTGGCTAGTCTCAGTAATTAAACGCAATATGATACAAATTGGGTTAACTATTAAGTCAATTTGCCCTTTTGAAATCAAACAACGACATAAGTTTTACAATTTATATAAAAATGTACCACACAAAAATTAAAAATCTCTTTTAAAGAAAAAATTGCTCGGATGAGGGCAAAAACAACCGAATCCTTTAGCACAGTGTCTCAAGTTTGGTTGACGACAGTCGAAATACATTCTTTTCCTGCATTTTGTTAATATATTATCCTTGCAGCTACACCTTCTATCGTCCTTATGATACTGTTGTGCGTCAATCTGTCGGTCTTCTGGAATTCTCTTTGATAAATCATCATAAATATCCTTTCGTCTTACACTTCTCCTGATATGTATATCTCCTTCAGTTTCCTCACTTCCTTCTCCTGTCCTTTGAGCCTTTTGAAAAATTCTTCGAAAGGAGATCGGATCACTTCGTACTTCTCTCCTTTCATGGTTTTGGTTTATATCTTTTACGCTATAGTATGGTTCTTCCAATTCTTTTTTATTATCTTCTACATTCGATTTAGGATAGGAGACTATAGGATGGATTAAGGTGCTCGAAGTCTGTTGAAAAGAATTTATAGTATGCTTAGGAATAGCTTCAGTTCTTGGAATTTCTCGTTTACTTGTATCTTCATGCGTTTGAAGTATTTTTGACGATTGTATACTATTTATTATAGTCTTATTAGTAATCTCATTTGTTTGTGATTTTGCTGTATTTGTAGGCCTTGGTTCTATTCTTTGAGAAATTTCTGACGGAGAAAACATACGTAAACTTTGCTTAGATCCAGAGGAGTCCCAGTAAAATTCCTTGATAAGTACTTGTGGTGATACTTCTTTCCGTAAGCTAGGTCTTTCAAGGACCATGTTGTTTGACGTTTGATTAATTTCCTCCGCTATATTGACTTCAGTTTGAGTTGCCATATCCATAGGTAGGGGGCTTGTTGAAATGTCTTTTCGAAAGATTTTTGGACTCTCTATTCTAATATTTGATCTTGCTCGTATCCTTTGCGTATGATCTAATTCTTTGACACTTAATGTACTCGGTGGAACATTTAAATTAAATTGATTTGAAGCGTCAATTTTTAATGAAATCTTTGGGCTGACATTATCTGTGGCAGAATCATAAGCGTCTTGCAAATCAACCTTTGGTACTGACACATTTTTCAACGCTTTATCCAAATCGTTTTTTATTTTTTCTGAATTTACTGGTATAAAGATACTTTGATTTAAAAAGTCTTTGCAAAATTTGTCAATTTCATAACATAGTTTATCTTTATACTTATTGCGGATTTCAACATCGTCTGTAGGATGATGTAATTCTATAAATGCGTTTGCTAATTTTTCTTTAAGTAAATTAAAAGATATCTGCTCATCAATTGTGGGATTATCAATAAGTGACAATGTTTTGTTAATGGCTTGATGTAGTAGAAGTTTATAGGTCGAAGTAACCGATTCTTTTTTTTCTTGATTAACATAGTCATGTGTCACATCTTTAAGCTTCTCAATTACCACATCTATTAATATATTCAAACAATTTTCTAATTCATGAGTCATGGGCATATTTTTAAGTAGTTTTTGGATTTCATATCGTAACAATTCATAAAAATCGTCTTTAGAATAAATTTGTTTCGTATTTAAATTATCAAAGAAATTTATTATTTGACTAGCAATATTCTGTCTCATCTCTTTCAATTTTACTCTATCACCATCCGAATGTTCTACATAGAGAGGAATATTATCACACCAATTTTTAATTATAGTATGTATATCGTCTACATTGCTTATACGAGTATCACGAGTAGGTTGTAAATTAACATTATCTCCTAAGTCAGTATTTTTTTCTATAGTCATAGAAATGAAATCAATGTTTTCTTTGGAAACTATATGAGTTCTCATAATATTTATCAATGATTCTATATGCTCTTGTAACTCATCATATCTTAAATGGTGTATTTTTAAAGGAATATTTTTTAATATTTTTAGGGTATCTTCTCTTAAGCGATTTTCAATACTATTAATATCTTTTATCATATAAGTTGACAAAATATCAATAAAATTATTTAAAATTTGTTCTATATCTTTGAAACTTATTTCTGATTGCAAAATTAAATTTTTAGACCAAATAGTCACAGCTTTCCTAATTTCATTCTCATACTTGGATTCGTCTACATTAGTTGTATTTATAGGAATTCTATCTGATATATCATGAAATAAACGTATTTGCTTTAAATATGTTATAAAATCATTGGCAAGTCTTTGATATAAGCTATCACTTTCATGGTCACACAAAACGTTTTTTATATTTTTTACTATTTCTTTAACGAGTAAATCTTCAAACTCAAGAGACCATATATTTGAATTATTTTCAAATACTTTCTTTAAATCATTAGCTAACGCTGAAGTGAAATTATCTACCAAAGATATGTTTGTCATCATATTTCTGGGAAAAGGTCGCACCTTCCTGAACCATTCTACAGCAACTCCTCTTAAATTTTCAACTATAAATTCACTAGTATTTTGTGTTGGAATTTGCGTATTTATTAAATTATTATTTTCAGTGTGTTGATTTAGTATATCATTTTGTGCCTCTATATTATAATCAGTTTCTATATGAGATTTCAAATTTTCAGCTAAATCATTTAATTCGTTTATATTCCAAACTTTTAAAAGTTTAGGCAACCACATTAAAAATTCACTTTTAATGTTATCTTCATAATTCCCACTTCTCATTAGAGAATGTACTTTTGTGGTTAAGTTTTTAATCAGATTTTCTTTGTTATTTTTATCATTTGATAAATAAAGTTGAGATGGAATAAGATTTAACCATGATTTAATTTTACTTTTTAAGTCAGTAAACGATTCAGTGTCAAGTGTATTTGATATTTCATTGGATTTATTCGTTTGAGGTTTAGATAGCCTTATCAGATATCGATATAGATCATTTACTTTTGCTATAACTACCGGTATTGTTTCAGAGTTAGTGAAGTTGTACAATCTTCTATATATTTGATATTTAAGCTGTTCTAGCTCATGGATCTCTGATGTCTTTGTGCCGGAGAGTTTTAAGTATTTTTTTCTATCAAGAAAATCAGATGCAATACTTTCAGCCAAATTGTGTTTTTCTAAATCTTTAACGTCAAGGTCAAGTGTTTTTAGCCAATCATCAATAGCACTTTCTAATCGATGAAGATATTGTGTATTATCTGATAGTTCTTTATTCCTTGATTCCTTTTTATTTATTAAAATATCATCAATTGAAGTCATTTTACTATGTGGAGTAGAATTTTTTAATGATGATGCTAGTGGTGTAGATGTTGTAAAATTATCTTCGAGTACTAACTTTTCGTGAAAAGTCGAAGTTTGCATACTATTATCTTTATATGTATTAGGAGTTGAAATTTTAGATTTGTTATCGCTTTCCTTATATGATTTAAAATTTCCAAATTCTTTATCTAATATCTTCTTAGATGTCGCATTTATATTTCTTAATATTGAACTACTTTCACTATGATATTCTTCTATAGTCGTAGTAGTCATTTTGTCTTCATTATTGGTAGTGTATTTACTTGAAGCATTCAGGGGTCTCGGACCTAAGAATTCTTTTCTTGTTTTTGCCCCAGTAAAATCAAATGTGTTATTATCATATGTCTCGTTTTGAGACATGTGCGATTGATTTGATTGACTGAAATTTTCAGTGATCTCTTGGTACTCGTACTTTTTCTTAGAGTTTTGGTAATCATTTGTTTTATTCTCAGATTCATGCATCGTTTGTGTGCTTTTGGAACTTAAATTAATAGAAAAAGTCTTATTAATTTCCATGTTGTCGTTATTTTCTATAGTTCCAACAGCTTCTGAAAATACATTGATTTGTAAAAGAATTTAAAAAAGATAATAAAGTCGTAGTAATAAATATTTTAATACTAGATTTCTATTCTTAAATTTATTAATTTTTATTTGTTGAAGGTAACTACAATATTCTAAATACCTTTGATTTTGGCAAAATTTGATCGATTCAAATCATCCCACCGTTTTCTTAGTTTTGGCATTGGTTCGGTCATATTATCTGATTTTGATGTAAGTCTTTTTACTAAATTATCATGCGCTGATGGGTCTATATGCTCATTTTTTTGTCTCAAGAAATGTTGTAACCAATTTGTTATCATTTTTTTCGTATCAGACAATCTATTTTCCGAATTATTGTCACGTATTTGAATTTCTTTTAATGAGTTAGCTAAATTTTCAATCATCTTTTTACTTTCCATTATATTTTCTTCCGATAATCCTGGTATATTTAAAAGCCATTCCATAAAAGTACCAAAAGAAATATCTGAAATACCATCTTCGTATTTTTTATTGTCTATGTCATGTAACTCCAATATTTGCATCATTAATTCTTTACTTAATTCATTTTTTCTCTTTACACTGAAACTTATCTGTAATCTATCAGCAATCAAACTTAACCATTTTTCTATATCATCTTGTATTTTTTTTCGATTTTCCTTAACATTGAAATTTAGTGAATTATACTTTTGTAATTTATTAGTAAGTAAATGTGTTAAATCTGCGCATTGATGTATATCTTTATTTGTAAATTCAGATAAATTTTGGCACCACGCTAGAATCTTCTCTTGAACAACATTGGCGTTATTCTTAAACTCTCTTTCATTACTTGTAGAGTTATAAAGATGCATATGACACAACTGATCAGCTAAATTATCAGCCAAAATATCAATGGATTCAATTTCACTTTTATCTATTTTCAGATTTAAATCGTTAAGTAAATCGTTTAATTTTAACTTTAATTTTTTTTTGTAAGTTACATCATCAGTAGATCTATTGAGTGCTAAAGGTTTTAATTTATTAATAAATTGATCAATGGTATTTTGTATGTGAGTGTTGTTAATACTATTATCATCTTTAAATGGTAAATCTTGTACCTGTTTTGTAATACAATCAATAAAGTTATTCTCTGCTAAATTTATAAATCTTTTACTAAGTTTATTAACTAGATCATCTATAAAGTTCGCTTCATCTGTTTGCTCATTCGGCCGCCATATAGGTAAGGCATTAAGACATTTCACTATTTCAGGTTTCGCTTTTGGAATAAAATCAGTTTGATTTAGCAAATATTTTAATGTTTTCGCTAATGTTATTATTACTGCGTCTTGTTTTAATTTATCAGTTTCATTGAAATTGGGATAGACGGGTATTTCTTTCATCCACCTATTGATTTCTTTAAATATTTCCTCATTTTCAATATCATTGTCGAATTTTGTAAATTCTCTGGGTGTTCTAACTTCAAGTATAGTTTGTTTTTCTGGCTGATTGAATTCTTTCCGCTGATCTGATTCAGGAAATGAATTTGTGAAGATATTATTGATTGGATCATGCTCTTTTCTTTTACAGTCACAAGTTAATGGTTGATGACAGAAACATGATTTTTGTTTTGATTGAAGCTTAACAATCTGAAATTGATTCAGTATTCTATTTCAATTGAAGGTTTATTTTAAAATAAAGATAATATTTCAAAAGGGATGTCTTTATATGAAATGCGTGTGTTTGTGATTCTTGTCTTCCTAAATGGCTTCACCGATTTTGATAAAATGGCTATTTATCAAAATTGGTCTTATGCGGTCATTTGGATGATTCTAACCTCCTTCAATTAACCTAGTGAACATACTTGGTTAAACAATATCCTCCTAGGTTGGACCTGGTTGACATTATTCATTTTCTTTAAAGAGATAAAAGTTTATGCTACTCACATTAGAAGACACGGTATGCCTCAAAGTTTTTATTTCACAAGGCACAGATTCTGTTGGTGATGATTTCAAACACTTCCCATGTCTTTTATGATGGACGTAGCGACTTGTCACTATGGGACATTGCTATAATTCAATAAGAATATGTTGAAAATTATGATAATAATCACTTTTAAACTAAAAATAATTTAAAATAAAAATACCCACCCTTGGAATGTTTTTGATATTAAAATAATAAAAAAGCGACTCTGACTCGCACACTGAGAATCTGTACAAGTTACAAATATATTTATAAAATACATACATAAACATAAGTATAGAAAATGTATTTTCGCAAATCTTTAAGAAAACTTCACCCAATTCTTGAAATATTAGTGGGACACAATGTTTTTTTATGAATTTAGAAGCATATAACTCGACAAATAATTATTTACACAAAAAGTCCCTTAGATATGGATATGTATCTCCTTTTTAAAGACTTGTCCAGAAATAGTTATATGGACTCAAAATTATGCAAAATACGAATTAACTTTTCGAAGCTGCTAAGGACGTATCCGAGCGAAGCGAGGGTAAGTAGCTAGAATGTAATATAATAACCGTAGGCTTTTTATCGATGATACTCCTCAGTCCTCCGCGTATCGCCTTCTTGATCTCAGTGATGTATCTTACGTCAAGCCTCGGCACTAACGATTCACATTTTAAATAATCATACGTGTAGTTTATGAGTTCCTTCTGGCTGAAAATATATTGACTTCCTCTATAATTCGTAACAATATAGAGAGTACCTGGGGAAATGGCAACCGAGCTTGGCTGTGTCCAAACCAAGGCTTGCAGTCAAAACGACTTTTGACCAACCTCTTTTAATCAAAAGTAGTTTTGACTAAAAAATAGTTTTGACTGTAGTATATATAATATTATAAAATCGAACGTATCAAAGATAATTCTTAATTAATGTATTATATTTTCTTAAAAAAAAATTCAGCTATAGCATCATAACCATAAACAACAACAAAAACAACACATACAAAATTCGTAAAAGCGTACGTCCTCTTTTTTTTAATTAAAAAAATATAATAAAGTGGGTTGACCATGGAAGGCCAACGAACAGTTATAATTCTTTTATTTATTGGATAAATGAAACAAACAAATTATTAAGTAACACTTTGTTCTATTATGTAACTTATAAATTAATATAGCAGAGTTAATGATTTAAGTTATATTGAACTCTTCCAAAGTGGCCTTTCAAGAAACAGGGCTCCATACGATCAAAATATCTGGCTATCCTTAATCTTCATAAAAAGATTTTTCATTAAATTAAATATTAAATACATATCATAATATATTCACATAAAAAATAGTCAACGAACATTACTTGAATACTATCGTAAAACTAAGAATGTATTTGTAAAAATGTTTTAAAAATAATTTTAATAAGCGTATAAAGTTGTAACGATATCAAATGAGTTGCCAATAATCTTAAAAAAATTAAAACCTTCTTATTATCTTAAAAAAAATAATAGCCTTCTTATGGATCTGTTCCATATAAGCCCAAAAGGAGTTTTAAAATAAAATTATTTAAAGCATGATTTAAGGCAATAAATATTATGAACTTATATTTTGTTTTACCTTTCCCGATACCTATTTATAACTAAAAACTAATTATATACATTTTCGTAATTGCCAAGTGTTCCTAGCGAGATTCTTGTGCCCTAGCAAGGCCATCTATCAATTTATTGATGATCTTTTTCGGCCTTACAAGAAATTATTGGTTTTCCTCGGAACATTATCGATATTTTAAAGCGAGGGACCGCATTGACAAACTAGCAGCACCAGCGACTCGTCGCTGCGTCTGAGTGCTTGAGTTCGATGTATGCTAGTCTGAGTAGACGGAATTTGTCATCGCATGGCAATAACTACGACTTTTTAATAATCGGCCTTACAAAAGAGCATGGCCTTTCATGGTCCACCCACTTTATTTTAAAAATTAGAACCAAAATAATCATCTATATCTCCCCAGATCTAAGTCCTTAGAGTACCTCGAACATCTCTTCTCCATAGAAGCAAACGATTGACATGATAATGTGCCAGTATTGCAGCATCCTTCCTGCGTAGTGTTAACTGCTTTATCTTGAGAATTAGCTATTTTATATGTTTGTTGACTCCTAGATTTTATCAAAGCTCGGAAACTTTTCACATTTCTTTTCTTATCTGATAAAAAATCATATATCTTCTATATAAATAAAAATGAATGTTCGTATGTTTCCCATCTATGCGTTCCTAAACCATTAATCCGATTATGATGAAACTTTGGCAGGTTATTCTGTATACGCATGCGAAGGTTCCTGACGCAAAAAAAGTTGTTTTTAAAGGTCAAGGAAGCATCCGAGCGAAGCCACGGTAAGTAGGGAAAATAAACTTAGTTAATAATTATTTTCACATTACAATTTTAAAAGTATGGGTTTTATCAAAACAAATCGAATGAGCTCTAACTCGATAGTGTTACTAGTTAGTAGCCATTGAAGAGTTCCACCTCCTGACTCTATCATCATTGCCACAACCCAACCAACAAGCATTTGTATGACTGATACAACTATTTCTATATGACTGTCATTACAATACCACAGATCACACAATACTAATTTGTCCCATCCCATACAACGCTAATTCGGGCTATTCTTCGCGCTGTTTTGTTTACTTTAATAGATAACAGATGTCGTTAATCCAGAAACTAATTTAACTTTTTGAGGTCTACTTTTAATCTTTTACTTATTTTACACAAACTTCAATAACAAATCGATACATATAGTGTGATCTATTAACATTTATTTGAACCAATTTTTCTTTATACATAATGATACTCTCTGACAATATTGTTACAATAAAAACTAGAATACTAACGTCTAAACTGTGTATGTTTTAATATTTTTCGTATAAAATCAGCTGAAGACGTTACAATTGGATATTTCCGTAGAGAATCTACAAATGGGTCCACGTGACATGAGTTTTTGAAGAGAGAGTCTAAAAATGAAAAAATAAAATCATTGCAAAGCAAGAAAAATGTATGAATAATGCAAACTTTTACGTTAGTTTAATATTATCGAGCCCACTATCACGTTGAATTTTTGTAATATGAGATTTGTAGCTATTCTGAACTATACACACGACGAGTTTTTTACGAGCAGTCGACGCGCAATAAATGCTATGTCGGCGCGCGCGGTTTTCGCGTTTATATCGATTCTAACGCACTAAATCAACACTTTTTTAATTTATCATTCAAAAATAGACAACAGTTAAAATTAAAATAAAATTAGTTAGCTAACTTATTTTATGAGAACATGGTAGATGATCACATGTGAGAGACGGCTTTACGTAGTTTGAAACCTGGAATTAGAAAAAGTCACACTATATAAAAACCATGCAACCAATAACCATTATATAAATGTTAAAAGGTGTTCCCTATATATAATATAAATACAATAGGCTACTTTCTTCTGTATATTTATATTTTATCTTTTATCTTTAACTTAAAATACTAACCTTGTAACTGACATCATATTGAGACACTTGTTGCAACATCCGCGTAGTGTTAGTCTCTACACTGGACTGACAGACTCTTGTAGGACCTGACCAATATAGGTACATATATATAAATGTACATAAAATTAACACCGTATTTAGAAGTCAGCAAATATTTGCTTGAATCAAAATTGGTTAGAAACATCTATCTTATTGTTTGAAGTGCCACTCTCATTTTATTTTTTGTATGATTGTCTATAAATAACATAGCTGTGACATAGAAACAGATAGGTATGACGAAATCTTAAGGATTCCGTTTGAGCGCCTACTCGCTACGGAACCCTAAAAAGCATGATGAAAATAAGAAAGCGATTACTGATTTTTAAAATATCGAGTAACCTAATAATATGTACGACGTAGGTACACCCAAAAATGTTATAAATTGGCCAAGCCGTTTTGCGCCTATAATTTTAAAGCCTTTACCAATGTCTGCACATTGTCTTCTATTCAATTTGAAATATGCTCCTGGAAGTAATGTAACCGCCAATTTGGCGTGTCGACAACCACGCACTATCGCCACTACACCATCGCCTCCTTCCATGCTCACCACACGTACTAGAAATAATGATTTCTTTAAAACAAAAATAAATCTTGAACTTATGGCCTATACACACGATGACTTTTTAACGCACTATCGAAACGCACTTGTCATGCGTTTTTATCGATACGAACGATAAACTGTATTTTTTAGTTAATTAGTGTAGAATGTATGTAGGCGACGTATGTACGTGCATGACACTCTTGGTGTATAAGCCTAACACCTGCCACCCTTTAACCGTCTATGAAGGTCGATTTAAGTTTATCGGCGCAGAGTACGCGTAGATTGGTGCGTTTGTCAAACGGTGTGCATAAGCTTTTAGTTTTAAGTTTCCTCATTCATAATATGTAAAAATAGTTTTAGTTATGACTAGCAAAAGCCAGTATCAGCTGCAGCACCGAAATAATCACCTAGTTTTTATTAAGAAAAATATCACCTAAGTATTCTACCATTGATAGTGAAATTTTTGATATTTTTTAAAATTAATTGTTTCTCAAAATATGAATTAAAATAATTAAAGACTGTAAAGTTAAATTACTCACTTTTAATTTTAATAAGCGTAACACGGCACGACACAAATCGGGCCTGTAGCAAACCCTTGAATTTACTTCAATTTCTAATAACCTTCAAACATGATGGTCGAGATTAATATTACTAATGAAAAAATAAAAATAAATCTTACATACTACAATACATTGACAAGTGTAGATCATGGTGGGTTTAGAAGTCTATTTTAGCACACTTTTAATTATAAATGAACGTCGTCCATTATGTTTTTAAGTAAACAAAAGCCAGAAGAATGGCTCGGTTTAGGGCTGTTCAAATATATTTTTAAATACATACATATTCTATTGGGTAAAAACCAACGTGGGTAGTACTGGCTTTTCTAACCGGTCCCACATAACCACCTGTATGTAGGTGGTATGCGTAAATGCATTTCCCAACTTTAAAAAAAATAGTTCAAGTAGGTAGGATACTCAGGAGTCATGTGTCAACTGTGGTGAATGGAAAAGTATAATCTATATTTAATAATATAAAGAAGAAAGATTGTTTTTGTTTGTTTGTACCGAATAGGCTCCGAAACTACTGAACCGATTTAGATGAAATTTGGTAAGAAGATAGTTTGAGATCCTGGTAAGGACGTGAGATAGTTTTAATCCCGAAAATTGCACTTAAGACGGTGAAAATGTGGGTTTTAAAACGCCACGAGTATTTGTCTACAATATTAATAAGATTTGACTAACTTAATGTCAACCAAAGTAGAGGACAAAAGTTGTAATAATTAGTTTTTTGTTTTGTATGTATAAAAAATAAATAAAAAATAAAAATCGTTATTGGAAACGTTTTAAAGATTTATAATATATAATGATATATGATAAAGACTACATTAGTTTAAAACTGTGTCGTAGCCATTAACGCCCGCCCACCTCCACATTATTAATATATTTGTTCCAATATATTGGAATGTTTTTATTCGAATGCTTTACAGCAAACATGGTCAAGGGAGAGCACGTCAGATCCAGATGTTTTTAATGATAAGAACAAATATTTAACAATTATTATCAAATTCAAAATGTTATTATTTTAATCTTGAAATACTTACATGGTACACTTATTAAAATAAACAAAAATTTCACCTAAAATAAGCAAATAATTTCATTATTTTGGTTCTTTAAATAATAATATTATAGTACATGTCAACACGTCATTTTTCTAAAGATTTTTAATTAGAAAGAAGTTTAATTAGAAAGGAGAAGAAATATTTTATGCTAATTTAATCTTAATCTCTATGGGTTTCATAAAGATCCTGATAAAAACCTCCTCATTCTCATATGAGAGTATATGAATTACCTAAATTAAAAACGAATACAGACACTGTCGCAAACAGTAGGTAACTAGTATAAAATAAACATGAAATCACAGAATAATTCTAGTTGCAAATACTTTTGGTATGAATAAATGCATAAACTATTGCCTTAGTTTTTATAGAAAGTAACTGCTTTGCAATCAACCGCACACTGTTCCTGAACTAAATGTCACTCGTAGTAATGACATTTGACGTAAAAGTTGGCGGGAATTTCGCAACATGGCCGACCAGTTGCGCACCGCTGCCTGTGCGTAGATAATTTTATTTAAAAAAATATTTTAAGCGCGTTAACTATGCTTTTGTTTAATTTTTTATAGTAACAAGGTCACTTACCTCTAACTGGCTTAACGTTATAAATAAGGCTGATAGAATTAAGTACTTTATTACTGGTTCTAAATTAAAAAATAAGTACCAAATTGATTTCATATATGTTTAATTAAAATGAATCCTATGGCTTAAAAATAATTTAAAACTTCGTAATATATTCTACAAAATAATAGGAAACGGTAAAATAACAAACTGGCTGATGGTAATTAGGGTAGGGTAAAAAGTATTAAAAATTTACCTTCATTAGTATGTGAGCTAAACATATGTTCAAACTCAGTTAGTACTATGAAGTAGTTAGGTTCTATTTAATATTTTGATGGATCATGGAACCGACAAGAAAAGAGAGTAGGCGCAGGCCTTGCTACGGGGTAGTCCGGTGGTTGTTGTTGAGAATTACTGACAAAATAAGTCAATAACTTATATTTGGACGAATATAATATCTGATTTTTATTTGTACATATTGTGGCATGTAAATAAAAAACCTCCTCTTTCTTTGAAGCCGGTTTACATAATTAAGTTTAGTTTAGTTCAGTTTAGTTTATACGCATAATGAGCAGATTATCATATTTCGCAAAATGGTCTCCAATTTTCTAATGATCGATTGTTCTAACCGCCTCGAAACGGTTACAGCATTCAATTGGCAACGGTCGCCTCTTAATTTAAAGTAACACGGATGTCGTTTGTTTTATGATGGACTATTTCTTTTTAACCGAGTTCAGAAATGGCCTATTGCTAATCGATTTTAATGTTTTTTTTTTCTAAAATATATATGTAGGTGGTCAAATATAAATGTCTGACTCTAGAGTAAATCTACTGCTCAGAGTGGAATAATTCTTTTAAAAGTTATTTTAAGTACAAAATTCGCTGTATTTGAATAAAATTTAAAGATATTCAGCCCACATCCGGGTTGGTGACCTCGACAATCATATTACAATTTACATCTCTCGGAAATTAGTTTGGTTCTCTCAGACATGCACGTTTGCTCACGATGTTTTCCTTTACCGTAAGGCGAGTGGTAATCATGTTGGAAATGATTCGCATATGAAAATCTCAATTTCAAGACACTGTTTTGAACCAGCATTATCAAGGACCTTCTAGATATTGATAAAATTTAATACATAGATAGGACTATAACTAGGAATAACACATAAACTGCTTTCAGGTCTACACTAGACTGGTTTCAAGACCTAGGATTTAGAAACACACTCGAGCAAAGCCATAAGTAGGTAGTATTATAAAGAATAAAAAATATAATATGTTTATTTGTATAGATAGGGCATAAAATCAGAAACTTCTAAACCAATGCTAAGCATTCTTTTCCTAACAAAAAGCTAGTACTTCATTGACGTACAACGTACCTATATGAGGGAAACCAGAGGAGAGACTAATATACATTTTTTTAGATAAAGAAAGGTCAAAATGAATAGTCTTAGAACAAACAGCACATTAAAGCCTGTATATTTTAAATTTTCATAGAGATAATAAAAACAATACTGTGAAACTATAAATATTACAATTAAATACTTTTAACACGGTCATTGGGGCGATTTTATTAGTTTCCTCCTGGCCAATTTTGGCCACGGCGGCCAATTTTTTGTCTTTTAATTTGTTATCATTTTTTAAGGTTTCATACCTCATAAGGAAAAAAGAAACCCTTTGTTGTCCGTCCGTCTGTCTGTGTCAGTCAAGCCCTTTTTTCTCAGGTATATGGAGGTATCATGTTAAAATTTATATCAAATACTCAGAAGATCCCTTGGAGTTCTGAAAAACTCAAACTCGTAAGTAAGCGCAATCCAAAGATACGGCCCTTTATGCCATATACATTAAACATATTTTTGACACTCGCAAGGAAATCAAAACCTATATTATACTACTATAACTTCCCGTTGAACTAGAATCATGAAAGGCAAGAAGCAATGTACAGAACAAGTATAAACCTTATTATTTATTTATATTCTAGACAACTAACGTTAAAATTCAAAGATGAATCACTTCTGTTAGTCGTCATCCATTTTCCCAGGTCATTACTCGGTCAAGTTTTATTTTTTGCCTCCAAATTGTTGTTTTTTCCTTCAGGCAATCTAAGTTTGTCGATTGAGTTTAAATTACATATATACAACCATTTATACTATCTATACATACTCGTATAAAAAAACTGGAGAGGTCTAATTTCTATACATAGAAAGAAAAAAGCTAAGAACCGAGTCAAGGAGATTTAAAAAGAGAAATAGAACAAATCCAGTTTTTTTTTGTAGCCTGTCTGTTGTACGGGCTAATTTCCGAAATGGTTGGACCGATTTAACTGAAATTTTGCATGGTGGTACCTGATATCCCTGGTCAACATTTTAGGTACTTTTCATCCCCGAAAATTAAAAAGTTCCCGTGGAATAGTTAAAAAAGTATAATAACTTATACAGCTGAGTACACAACAACTTATGCAGCTAATTTAGTAAAATTTGGCATGCCTTGCACCTTATATCGCCGGTCAAACAACAGGTTACTTTTTATTCCAGGAAACTGAACGGTTCCCGTGGGATAATTCTGTTTATGCTTTTCTAGAGGCGAACATGAGCGAAGCGAGGGTGAGCCGCTAGTATATTATAAAAAGTAGCCTCGTTGATCTAGTGGCTAGTATGTACGCTTTCGGATCTGGAGGTCCTGGGTTCGCCGTTCGGGCTAAGTTTTTCGTCGAGATTTTTTGTTATTAAATTCGCCTGGAGCGTATACTCGTATATACGTTTGACGTTTCAATCCATTTAAATCTTTATTTGTCATCCATGATTTAAATCTATGTCAGCTTAAACTACTTTTTTCCGCGCTTCTAATTAAAGCAAAGGTCCATTTAAGATCAATTTCATACACTATTTCTAAATAAATACAAATTACAATTACGAGTATAAAACTTTATATTTTTTACAAAAAAAAGCACTCATAAGAGCGAATTTTTAAATTAATGTATTCAGTGAGTATTCACTACACATTTTTTAATTTGAAGCCTAACTAGTGTTCGCTTAGTGATCGAAATTCGAACTTAATCATTACATTAAAAAAAAACTAACTTTTTAAAAAACAAATTGATTAATCGGTATATTAAGTATACAGATAATAGCGACTAAACAAAAAAAAGGAAATCGGTTGACAAATAAAGGAGAAAAGGTATTTAAGTCTGGACTATTTTGTCTTTGCCTATTTATACACATATATGACTAGAGATTGTGAAATACAATTAAAGCATTATAAAGATTTTTCTTTCAATCAGTAACCTTACTAGTTACGTATGTAAATACAAAATGATATAACATATGTAACGAAACAAAGACGCCAAGGCTAAGTAGCAAGGTCGGTCAGTTCGTAGTTCGCACACTTTTTACTTAAAAGTTAAAGTATTACTCGACCAAGTTGCATTTATACAAGTTTTTATGTAAGTTAAAAACAGAAGGTTGCTTATTTAGCATTTTGTCTATAATCGAAGTAGGTATGTAATGGTCATAAAGTACAGCCATGATTTTTTTTTAAATGTAACTTTTACTTGGCTTAATTATATAACTATGTATGAGACAATCCTGTGTGTATAATGTGCATATATATTTTAATTATTATATATATTTAATTTTTTTTAATATCTACCTTGAAAAGAGCAATAAAAATATAGTTACGAAGCGTGCAAAAAAAGCGTTTAAAGTCTAAAATGGTATTATTATTAGCATTTTATTAGGTACTTACTAATTAATTGTTATAATACCATTTCCACTACGGCGCCCGCAATAATCCATATAAATAAATAAAATTGAAGTGTCTATTTGTAAAGTCAAAATAACAGCTTCTTACTAAATGCATATGAAATTATTTACGGTACTTATAGTTTATACGAAACAAACAAATGGTGTGTCCCTAAGTACGTTTTAATTTTTTTTGAGCCATCTTTTTCTAAAATAAAAGTAGCCGAAGTTACGCCTTATAACATCAGCCATCTGCCAGTGAAAGTCTCCTCAAAATCAATCCAGCCGTTTCGGAGATTAAGTGGAACAATAAGACACAAATACAAAGAGACAGACAGACAAAAAATTTAAAAATTGTGCTTTTCTTATAAGTATCGATATAATTTCATAGTACCTATGCATTTAATAAAAATCTGTGTAGATGGTATTTCAATACCAATTCGCAATAGGTAATATAACGTACCTAATAAAAATAAGAAATCGGTCAGGAGAAAATCATTGAAACTACCAGTTCGCATTGAAAAAAATCTTCTCGCATTACATAAAGTCATTTATATAGGAGCAGCAGACGAAACATAGTATTTTCTGTATGTATTAACTATTTTTTTAGCTTCATTAATTTTTTTCAGCTATAATAATACGCTTCCTCTACCTATGTTAAATCTCTTAAGTCTGAAAAGGTTACGATCGTATTATACATAGTTTTGTATATATGCATATTTTTATTTATTTTCACGTATGTTTAGCATTCTCTTGTTTTTTATACAAGTGCAAGTCATTTTAATCAAGTATAATCTATACATATAATAAAATTGTATTTAAGCCGAATCTGTACATTAAATATTTTTTGGAAAATATTATTGAAATAGACATTATTATCGATACAGAGGCCGAATCTATAGTTTTTGATGAAATTTGGTATGGTGATGGCTGGTTATCCGGGTCAACATACAGGATACTTTTTTTCGCGGGAAAATATCTCATTTCTGAGAAAAAATACAAAAATTGTAATGTAAGAGTATACATACTAATATGTAAAACCTAAGAATTTGGTTTTTGGTCATCTGAACGCGGGCTATGATAGTAAATGCTAAAAATCTTGTTTTTTTTTTCATATTTTTATGTAGATTTAGTGATTACATTGAAAAATGTATAAAAGAATACGCATATGTAAATTGCTTTTTTTATTGAAAAAGGTAATATGAATAGTCTATAGGTACTTTATATCATAAAAACTTGAAAAAAAAAAACCTATACCTAAAGTATCGGCTGGTAAGGACTTCGAAAATATTTGATTAGGTACATATAGTAAATGAAAACTACCAATAGGTAAGTTATTTTTTACTATTAGTGCGTTTTTTGAGTCGGTTTTTATTTTTATATTAAAAGGTTTTTATTTTTCCCTTTTTAGTGTAGACATAGTAGTAGCAAACTAAGAAGAAAGTATTTTAATAAAATATTCGCTTAAGCCATGATGCCAATTTTTATATAAAGACTGACAAACTAAAATTCGCTCTTATTAGTAACACTAAAAAATCTGGCTTTAAAATCCAATTCTAACGTATTGGGCTTGTAAAATCAAACAAAATAAGCCCAAACTCAAAGTATCTACTATGAGCCGTAGAAGAGTTTCACCTATATCCAACTTCTGGCCTTTCCATTAGATCAGGTCGACGATACCGAAGCACTGAAACTTACAAAGTTTCAAGTCAATGGATATGACAATTACAAGTAAGTTAAATGGGACCAAACTGGAAGTACCTATACACTTGCACACAAAACTCTTAACAGTTAATAAATGACGGAGTTCTGAGGTAACAAATATTAAAAAACATACAGCCGAATTGAGAACCTCCTCCTTTTTGAAAATGTCGGTTGAAAATATACATTTGACTAATTATTTTTCCATTCATTATTAAAATAACAAACTATCACATAGTTTTCTCACACTTTCTATATTTTTAAAAGATAAAGAAAAAGATTCAATATTTCTCAAAAATTTAAAAGATTTAATATTTTTTAATTATAAAGACTACTATTCGCCCAGTGGTCGAAATTCGACCATTATCATTTTCATCGAAAATTTGAGGTAAATATATATGAATAGAATTACATATTTCTATAACAAAAAAACTAACTGTTTCTCAATCTATTGATGACACTGAAGCTCGTCAATAGCTACTAAACAAAAAATATAACCGTCCTCCTTTATAAGAGGTAGGTTAAAAAAAGTGAGTATTATAAAATGTATACTCGCTCCTATGCAATTACATTATAGATTAAAAAATATTTACACTACTACAATCCTAATTTAACTTTATTTTGAAAGTTTTAAGGATTAAAATCGCTTAACCAAAATACATTGATATTAATTCAGAGTACATTATATTCAAACAAGCGACATTGTACTTTATATTGTATAGATAAGATTGAATATTTTATTTGTAAAATTTAAAGAAGTGAAGTAAAACCTTTTTACTTCGCGAAGGTATCTATTACAGTGTTACTAGTATAAATGTGAATAGGCAAGTTTTATGCAGAATAAATAAGGATGTTTTAAGTAATAAAATAGAAATAGATATAAAACAGAAATAGAAAAAAAAAGAATAAGAAATGCATGTCTTTCTCCTAGCTTATTGATTAAACCTCAATAAGTTCGAATTAGTGTTTTGGATATGAAATGTTTTAAATAGACATGCAGACATTCGTATTTATAGTAAGTAAAGTGTAAATAAGCACTGCTTTAAATATAACGGAAAATATTATTAAACCTCATTTTTTCCGTTATATTTTTAAATCTTACAGCTCGCAACTCGCCACACCGAAATGAAGTACGAACTACGAACTACGAGTACGAAACTACGAAGTACGAACTTCATGTCAGTGTATCGATAGTCGTCAATCGTCATGCGCGGGAGTCGTGCTCGTTAAAAGAACTTTTATCTCACAATAAAAACGTTAAAACTTTAAAAAAACCTCCACATGTAACATATTTATTGTTTCATAAAATCTTAATTAGGCAACGAATGTTCATATCGCGTTTTTTGAAGACAGATAAATGTGTAAAGTTTAGTGTTTAGCAAAATGGAGGACGTTTATACAATTAAAGTGAAAACAAAGCCTGACACGAGAAACTTATATCCATCTGAAAGAAGATATTCAGCTTCGACTGTGTCTGGACTAGCTTGGGTGCATATTGCTCTAGCTAGCACATCATTTCTGTTAGCTTGCCTCGCTGTAGTCAACCCAAATGTTGAACAAACAAAAAACGACACAAGGACGGATAATTCAACGAATGTTGATGAAAAAACGAATACCATGTACATATTAGTTCTCGCCCCGACCCTGCTTACTTTTTTTGCCTTAGCTGCTGGAGTTGCCTCTATTTTCGCTTCAGTTAAATGGTACATAGACAGAAATATCACTTGGTTGTTTATCATGTCGTTGTTGTCAACGGTTTTCTCGTTAATTTCATTTATTATGATTATAGTATGGTTATTAACTAGTGAAGATGATTTGTCAGAGTTTTATAAAGACAAAATACCATTCAAAGAAATTTTTATTATCAAACATTCAGATGTAATAGATAGAAACGGATCGCACTTTGTCATACCAAGAAATACGACAGAAGTGAAGGAAGTGGATTCAAAGATCTTTACTAAGAAAGTTTTATCAATAAATATTCTGATAGCAGCGTTCATAGAACTTCTATGGTCAATTTTAAGTGTGAAAATAGCTTATAAAGGAATGAAGAGTAGTTACAAGGAGGGGGATGAGAGGCGAGGTAACTGTATATCAGTGGTGACAACAATCAAAGGTAATAACACAAAAAAATTGCCAAGAAATGGTAAAATTCGAAAACCTGATTTAATAGATCATTACCCAAGCAGAAAAATAAAGAAAATATTTCTTGCTCAGAACGACAATGGATTTTACTTGAAGAATCAAAATAACAAATTGAAGCCAAATACTGAAACTAGTTCAGAGTTTTATAAGGAGAGAATGATGAATTTCTTAAATAAATGTGCTGAAGGGGTCTCCAATGCTGATATACGGACCCCCAGTGTACAATCAGAAGGGGTACTAAACCCAATACCAGAAATAGCAAGTGTTGATACAAGTGTACAGGATAATAAGGAGGCTAAAGAGTCCCGGGTAACTCCAGTAAGTTGGGGAGATACACCAGACCATACAGTTTATAATCAAAATACAATAAGCTTTGAGAAAATTTTCAATTTCAAGAAGAAACTTGTAATTGAAAAGGAGGAATGTGAAAATACTCATGTTTAAGTAAAGACTGACGAAATGTAAACTTGAAATGTGTTAAGTATTTTTTAATGTAAATATATTAGTTACTCTAGATTTATTCCAATATTATTTAAGGAATATAACATTAAGGTTTAAAATAAATCATTTTTTTCTACTTTTTTAAATTGCTTAATTATAATTTTTTGTAAAAGACTGGCACTGGTTCATTTTTATGTTTCAAATTCTATACTTATCATATCTTTTAATCTGTATAAGACAAAAGTGAGAAAAAAGCTATTTATTTCTACTAAAATAAAAGATTGTACTATTTTGTAATTCTTGCTTTCTACATAAGTATATTAAAAATAAAAAAGTAGTGTTGTAGAACATTATTGTAATAATTTCTGCGGTACTGTTAGTAATTGTAATACTAATTAAAATGCAAACTGTTTTTTTTTTCGAATGTCTTTAAAAGTGTAATAAAATTGTTTCATTTATGATCCATAAATAATGAGATTACGAATAAGTCGTAAAAAATTTAATTACCTCAACACTACTATTTTATTTTACATACATATAAAAATAAAATAAACTTTTATGTTCATACCTATTTAATGTTAGAAATTAAAGAAACCAATTTGCAATTTTATAGTCCTATCTCTTACACATAACCTGGAATATCACTGGAAGGATTTCAATACAATTTTGTTGTATAGTTAAATAATAATTAGAGTTTTAAAGCCCCAAAACAATCTTGAGACAAAATATATGTATGTATGTATGACGCTAAATATATTAAATGAACCAGTAAAGTAGCCGTTGAAAAGTTCCACTTTTGATGTCTAGGATAAATAAACACTAAATTAAAGCCACAATTAATAGCTAATATTCAGTGTGATCTCTTTAAATCAAAGTTTATCTTACTTCACAATCCTTTACTGTGTAATGTCAGTCATTTCACAATAAGTATCAGAACAAAAGTGGCTTAACTCAAAGTTTTGTAAATAAATTTTATGAATATATTTAAAATTATAATTGCGTATTACTTGAGATTTATTGCATTATTAATGTAAAATATTTGTATTTTAACAAATGTACCATTTGCAATTATATTATTACAGCTTTTATCCACCATTGGTGGATATTTGTTTATGTATAGTTGTAGTGATATGACATAATAGGTAGCTATAAACCTTAATAAATAACAATAAAACACAACGACTTTTTAAAGTCAGATTGGTACTTACAGAAATTAATTGAAAGTGCATTCTTTTTTTTTGATTTTTCTGGGCTATTTCAATTCTTAGACAAGTCTATTATAGGGTAAAATGTAACCTACAATATGTACATTTTATAACTCAATGTAAATATTTTTTAATCAGCATAGAATCGTTGAAGGCAGTAGTAGCCCAGTGGTAACGTGCTTAGTTGGGAAACCGAGTGAAGCGGGTTCAAATCTCGGGTCTTACACCTCTGATCTTGTCGTGTGCAAATCAATTCCAACATGATTGGTGAAGGGAAACATCGTGAGGATACTTGCATGTCTGAGAGAACTTAGTAAATTTCGAAAGACATGTGAAGTTCGCCAATCCGCACTTGACCAGCGTGGTGGACTATCGCCGGATGCGCCTCGTATTTAAGGGAAGCCTGTTGCTTGGCAGTGGGACGTTAAAAAAAAGGGCTAAAACAAAAAAATTGTGACATTTTTTATGTATGTCACAAGTTTACTACCACTGGAAAGATAAAGATTTAGTCTTGAGAAGAACTGGCATACAAAACTTGGCAACATAAAATCTTTTGTAAATTTTTTGTTTTTAAATTATGAATTACAATAATTCTCTAACATTGATTTAGCCATTTCCAATCTATAAAATAACCATTACCACATATTTTTTGTCTGAATTTATCAATACAAACTATATCAAAGTTAGGCCAGTTTTGCACTGATCTTTTCTTGAATTTCATTTTAAACTCTAGATAATATCTTTTTAGTCAATCTCATATGGAACTTATCTGTTTAATACTCTATTATAAACTATATTAAACTTTTTTTATCAGCTTTATATTCAGAGAAAAGACTAAAGTTCTTCGATGAATATTTTTTGTCTTTATTCTATATCAACTGTGTTTTTGTAAATAGTAACAATAATTAATAATTATAAAGCTAATAAATAAAATTGTAACCACTTAAATGTTACCAATGTAAAATATATTTTATATTTTTTTAATAAATAATTTGTAAATTATATGGTTTCCAATTTTATACCTAACATGTAAAAGTTACTTTCATTAGTAAAACTCGTTATTCTGATAGGCATTGTCCTGTCTAAGTTTCGATAAAGTTTTTGATCAAATTAAATTTCTCTATATAAACCTATAATAAAAAACCACTTTCAGTTTTTCCTGAATTGTCCATATTGCTTGGTAAATTATACCAAAGTGGTACGCGTAAATGCATTTCGCAATGTTAACTAAAGGTCTATCTGTGTACAAAGTTTCATCCAAGTCCGTCCAGCCGTCTCGGCGTAAACGTAAAATAAACGCACATACAAACTTACGCATTTAAAAATATAAACATGTTGGGACATTAACACAGCACTATCTAGTTCCATAGTAAGCTACGAGGCCTGTGTTATGGATACCAGATAGCTTAAAATTAACTTTAAATACATACATATTATAAATATAAACATCCATGACTGAAGTACAAACATTCGTGCTCACCACACAAATGAATGCCCCCAGCGGGACTCGAACCCGCGACCACACGCCAAATAGGGTCACTACAAACAGCCATACGTGTCGTCACATATTAGTAGTGGGATTGTAAAATATTTAGACTTTTATCGCAGTAACAAATGGCTTTCTCTTGACAGATATCGAAGGATCTTTTTTATAGCGACAGTATTTATTAGCACTAACTGCCTCATTGCTTGAGTCTATTAGGTAGCAAATACTGATGCGATAGCTTAAGATTCGAATCCCGGGTCGGGTCAAAATCTTAGGGCTAATTAAAGAATTCGCAGTACCAGGATGGGGTTGGGAAGTTGGTGTTGTTGCGTCCCCGTGCCTCGGAGAGCCCGTATATCAATCCTGCGATGGATAGCTTATCGCGATGTCGATTTGTCATCATATTAAGCTTTAAGAGTGAAAGGAATGAGAGCGTTTACTTTTGTTTACACTACAGACTAAATGGTTATAATATCTCATGCTCAGGTGAATAGTATTAGTGGGATTGGCCGCCGTGACCGACGTCGGTATGGAGTTCATTTTACTAACCGACTTCCAAAAAGAAGGTGCTTCGTTCGTTGTAGGTTTGACCTATTAGATAATTAGGTATTCATATCTTAAAGCTTGACACATACCTACTTTTAAGGTATCTGATTAGGTATTTATAGTAAATGAAAACCCCCATTAAGTTGTTTTACTATTTAGTGTTTAGAAATAGGGTTTTTTAATGTTTTTTTCTTTTTAGAGTCAGGAAGTCTGTTTTTTTACGTGTTTATATTTTAGTCGTCTGAATTTAAACCGAATGTAAGTAAATAGTAGCATTAAAAAGAATACATCCATAGTATTTCACCCTATACATAATTAATGGAGGAATCATATTTTAGACTAAATCATTTTCATAAAAAAAACATGACTCAAACTCGAAGGCTTTACTAGTATAGTTACTGAAGAATTCCACTATCCACTTCCTGGCTCCATCGTCAGATCAGCGAGATGGTATATATAAAATTGACATGAAAAGTGACGCTGACATCATGAGAGAAGAGTGATCTGCAATAGAATATTACGTAATAAGGTCCAAAAGTTTTCCGGCCAACCCATATTAGATTAATCAGAGAAACAACTTGTTAGTCGTTTATTGGTCATTAAATTATTAGACGTTTGTCAAGCCATCACAAAGGGTGGACCTATATATAGGCTTTTTGTGCTGCAACCCAGGGCCCCCAAGATATACCTAATAGGATTGAAAACGATAGATAATGTTGTCAATTTATAAAGTAAAAAAATTAAGGCGATAAAAGATTGGCCTCATAACCCTGAGACTAATTAAGAACCAAACAACAGAGTTATCATAACGTCGTCTGCTACTCATTATACATTTAATAACATCACACAAAATGACAATTAGTTTAGGCCCCCAAAAAGTGTTATCCCGAGGACCTCCAAATTGATCGGCCCTTGAATTTTGAGTTAATCCCTATCGATTATAAATCATAGAAATACGTTCACGGCTGTAGGGAGAAGGTTAGTATAGAAATATAAAGTACTAGAAGAACCCGCGGCTTCGTCCGCGCTAAAACTACGAAAAAATATTATTAGCAAGTTTTAAGTAATTCTAATCATAAATAATTTTTTGAGTTGTATTATAACGTGTTTTCCCAAGGGAATAAGATAATCTCTCGTGGTAAAAAGTAGCGACATAGGCTATGGTGGAGAGTGCTCCAGCCCTAGTAACTATTTCCACACAAAAAATTACTCCAATCCGTCTCTCCGTTTCGATGTAAAAGAAGAACAAACAAACACACTTTCACATTTATAATATTAATATGGAAGTATGGATACTACACTAGAATACATTGTGTGCTTCGTCACCGTGAAGTCGGTGTCGTATGACTTCGTAAACAATATGTATTATTAATAGATTTTAATTGATACACGAGCTTTACTAGTACACTCCCATGGCTTCGACCGTGTATTATTTTATGATTTAAAATTTTCCATAAACAATTACCTAGATAAATGAGTTTAGTTCATAAATATATAATAAAAAAGAAATAATATTGTCTAAAGTAACTTTGAATAAGAAGATTAATGATTATCTTAAGTAGTTGAGAAATGCATTTTCGCATACCGCCTGCATGAAGCTCAAACTTGAACGGGATGGCGAAGCACTGTGGACGGCCTCTGCCTGACGTAAGGGACATATATGCCCGATTTCACCAACGTCACCTGAGTTTAAGGGATCCCCTAAGCATACTTAGGGGGCTGTTAGAGGACAGTTTCTGTTTCACCGTCAGTTAGGGGTCACC